CCGGCTCCTCCCGCCACACATCAAAGTATCGTTGAGCAAGATACTGAACCTGATCCTGAAAGTGTGTGTGTGTATATAAATGAGTTAGTTTCTGTTCGATGGGCTTTGCCATCGCTGAATGAATGTGTGTGAAAGGGTGAATGTGGCACATGGTGTAAAAACGCTTTCAGTGGTCGGAAGACTAGAAAGGCACTATACAAGTACAGGTCCATTTACCATTTAATCCCGATAACGATGATGCACCGACAACAACAACACTGATGATGATCTTTTTTTCAGGATCATTTTTTGTCAATAGTCACTTAAATTTGGCTGTTAGTAGATCTGTATAGATGGGCGACAATTTAAAGGAAAAAACAACACAAACCTGGTAGTTTCTGGAAACCTCTCCATTTTCCTATAGGTGCTGATTCAAATCATTTACAATCTCATTTCAACATCGTGTCCTGTATGAAGGCATTTGTCATGTTTCTCCACTCGTTCATTCAGGTTTTTTCTATAATTTGCCATACATATTTATATTTATACATACAAAATGTCTAGTTTTAACTTCAATAAGTACAACAATGGAAATGATTCTGCTATATTAATTCAGGCAAACTGAAATCACTTATTATTTAATGTAGAGGTCATAATATCAATAAAAGCTATAAAATGAATTAAACTTACTTGATTTGAGTGCTGGGGTTCCCAACACCAGTACCTCAGGCTCGGCCGCACGTTCCATAAACGTTACTGACTATGTTTGTGGGTGGGAAGCCAGAGAGGGATCGTGTTGTTTTCACTGCACTACAGTGACTCAAACGCCGCAAGGAAACCCATTACACCCTCCCAGTGAAGTTCCTCTCTGATAAAGAAAATTGATTGGTTAAGTAATAAATCAACTACTGTGTCGTTATATGTCGCAGTGCAAGTGAAACCTTGAAATAAAATGCCTTCTCCCGGTGGGATCATTTGTAGTGAATCTTCTTGAGACTATTTGATGAAACAATCCAAGGATTTGTTATACTTTCAAGGACTCTTAAAACCCCCACAATGGACTTATGGACCACCTGAATGACTTCTCAGACACTCCAAACAACCCCTGAAACCTGCTTAAGACATCTGGACCCCCCTTAGTAACACCTGGAGCCTCCTTAAGAACAAGACAAACCCCTTCAAGCACCACTGGAACCTCTTCATGGTTGTCTAAAACCCTGTCCAGGCCCCCCTTGGGTTCCCTCAAGCACCGCTGGAATCCTGCAGTTTGAGAACTCCTGACACATATGAAAGCCGCAGCTGGCGACCACTTGTCACTGAGCGAAAGCCGGCGAGTGTAACAGAGCTGGGTAACTGGGCTGAGCTGAGGCCGCTGAGATGGCGGCGGCGGCGGCGACGAGGGAATTGTGGCGTTGTTCTCTGAGTCTGAACTCTCAGCCCTTTTGTGCTCAGCTTTCTCCAGCAGCCGAGCTTGAATAGCTCCAAAGTGACGCCTCCATGCTGCTTTAAAAGCTAAGCAGCACAAAGGTTGAACGAGGAACTGAGAGAAACGTTCACTTAGTCGACATCTGGGCTGGATATACACAACCCTCCACGCTCGCCGCAGCTCTCACTTGATGGCCACACAATGTACTTGTCCAAGCATGTGTAGCCTATATCTGTGTGTGTGTGTGTGTGTGTGTGTGTGTGTGTTCAATCGCGCAGCATGTGGGCATTTGTGTGAATGCCTTCGCTATATAATTAAATTAATACCAGCCCCGCTCTTGATTTCAACTTCAAACAGCTCAATGAAAACATATTGCTTTTTTATTATTATGAGCTAATTTAGAGGTCTGAAGAGGGGGTATTGTTAGACGGGGGCTGGGTGGGGATGGGGTGGGGGGTGGGGGGGGTTCACACTGTGTTAGCTGTGCTGTAGTGATCTCAGTGGGACTTTCCTTCCACCCCACCGTGCAGACTGCTTCACACTCTAGGCCCCAATTGCGCTGTTTGATAATAACACCTTAATGTGGCTGCTATGACTACTGCTAGTGAGACCACTGTTACTCCCAGGGGAGGGAGGGGGTTGAGGGTGGTAGTGGTGGGAGCCAGCAACCACAGGGACCTCACCGCCTGACTTCAGGTCACAACACTGCACTGAGGCCAAGGCAAGGACCACATTGTGACTTGCGTCAGAAGTCTCAACATAGCTCAAATCCTTAAATCTTTCCTGTAGTCTGAGCTCATATCTGTGACTACAGAAAGAAGCCAAACTGATGGAGTGAAATCTAATGGTCCCGCTAGTACAGAAACAGTCACTACAGCAGCAAATACAACAGGCAATATGAATAACATTAGAGCAAATACATTAGAGCAACATGATGGTCAAAAGTGGCAAATTCACAAATTGTACTGCTGTATAGAGAGCAAGTAAAGGTGTAACCAATCCGAGATTAAAGACAGCGTGATTAAAAATATAAACAATGAATAAACACTTAAATAACAGCAGTAATAAATATATGGATGAAAAATCAAACAGCCGTTTAAGAATTCCAGAATTGAAATCTTTGCTTTCAAAATGTCTCTCCTTCCGCTTATAGATGATAATCTCACCACAAAAACAAATACTATTCCTGTTTCTAACTACTATATATATATATATACATAATATATATCTGATGTCTTATTCTGAAAGAGGAAAATCGTGGAAAACAACATTATATTAATGGTATTAAAATTCTATAGAGGATTTTCTACAGTTTGACTGTGAATCACAGCATTATGAAGCTGTGCAAAGTCTAGAAAAATGAGGCGAATTGAACACCTTTAACCTCCAATCCGTGTAAACTGCTATAAATTAAATACACACAAGTTCCGTTAAAATAAAGCATGAGCAAAAAATCATGTTAATCCCATATGGAATTCGGCACGTGCAGGAATAATAGTGGGCGTGTTAATTAAATAGTGGACCCATAGGTGATGGTCCCGCTCTGTGCTACAGTACATAGTGTGTTGCAGTCTACCTGGGCTCTGCTGTTATCGGGGTCAAGGCGCGGCTCTCAGACAAGAGGCTTAAGCAGAGACAAGAGCCTTTAACACGAAATAAAACCATCAAAGTTCAGCTCTAATCCCCGCTGCCGTGGATAAGGCTGACTGTTAACGGGCTGCACAATGAGATCCGTTTACTCTAGGCGGGATGGCTTTGTGTGTGTGTGTGTGTGTGTGTGTGTGTGTGTGTGTGTGTGTGTGTGTTTTCCAGCTGCACATTTCAACTGACACAACACGGCGAACAGGATTTAGTGGAGAAGCCGGGAGGATTTCATCACCCGTGCGCCGGGTGTATTTAAAAAAGCCCACACCTTTCCCTCCACAGCGGGAATTATACAATAAATTTATATTTGTGTTCGATGTCTATAAATGAGCTCCAGAAATTCATTCAGAAAGAGAGCAGACTATGTTTTTTCAAGAGGAAGATAAGTGGCCACCATTTGGACACAGGAAGAGTGAAACAAAGCAGCTTCGGCTTTAAATAAAGTTCATTTTGTTTTTCATGAAAAATATATAGTTATGATTGCGCCTGTTATTATGGCCCCATAATGCATTTTGGCCCCTGCATATTTGAAAGAAAAGGGTGTTTAAATACCGTCAGCACCTCGGAGAGCTCCACATCTGCACCAGCTGTATTTTACTTTGTCACACACACATATTCACACACCCTGTGTGTGTGGACAACAATACTGCTACTTCTACTATAATATGCAGAAAGTCATTGAAATGTCAGTGAGTTAATCTAATACAATTCTCACTGAAAGTCATTCTATAGCGTCAAATCATTCAGATTTGATCATTCAAAGTGGTTACACTTGTTGGCAGCATGCTGAATCCAGTGAGATCAATTATCAATTAGAATTAGAATTAAAATAATATTTAAGTTATGTATGTAAAAATAAATAAAATGTAACACTTTTGAGTCTTGAATATGTTTAATTATAGAAGCAGGAATTAGACCTCCTCTGTGTTCGGGCCTGACTTACATTTTAAAATAAGTAGAATATGAATTTAAAAGGTTGAAAATAATTGTTTTGGTATTATTTTCTTTTCTTCTACTTGTTTATGTTAGAAACAGAGCCCGTATAAAGTAATATTTTCTTTTTGTTGTGTCAAAATAATACAATTATTAGTAAAATAACGCAGAGTGAAGACTCTGTACTGTACATAAACTCCTGAAGCTAAAGTGTGTATTAGGATATATTTTCATTTTTATAAGCAAGAATAAATGGTAAAAGTTCTTCTTGGAATTAAGATTTAATTTACTCGCGTGGTGTTGCCGTTATTTTAAGATTTTTTTTTCATTTCAGACATTGAGAGGAACTGAACTAACAGTGGAAAATAATATATGCCATGTTTCCTTTTACACTTTCTTGCTAAAATAAGCAGTCAATAAGGCTCGGACTGGAGTGTGTCACTGGGTTCCAGTCTATCCCGCTGTATAGGGTACTCTGCTGTCCAGGCAGCCAGACTGGTGTTTCGGTTTGTTGTGGCGCCCCCGTGAGACCATTCCACTGCCTGTGCCTGGTTAGTGTGCACTGGATGTCTTTGGTATTCAAAAAACAACCTAGAAATTTTCTAAAAAGCTTTCATCCTCATCAAATCAGGTATTTTTGATATTATTTCCCTTCGCGAAAGCCTGATTTACTCTGTAATATGAAGTAAGTGCTTTTTACGCACAGCGCTATTGCGCACAGGAAAGGCCCCCCTGGTTCAAGTTTCATTTTCAAACAATAATAAAAATAAAAACGCACTTTACACACTCAACCCTCGGTGCACTGCGCCGCTCAGTGAGACCCAACAACAGCGTCTCTCCAGCCAGCCGCGGTGGAAATACGTTTGGAAATGCGCACGGTTGAACCGACTCTGGTCCTCTCTCATTGTGAGAAAATAACAACAACTACGGCTTTTTAGACTTTCTGGACTTTTGACAGAGCAGAGTCAAGAGGAGAAAGTTGAGCTTAAGTACAGGCTGAGTAAGAGATCTAACTCACCAGACAAAGTGCGGGCGTCAGGAGGAACACGGCGCACCAACACGTCACCTGCATCCTCCCGGAGCTCAAAGTTCCACTAATTTCCCTCGGCTGGTAGTTGCGGCTTTGCGGACCATAAATCCACCTGGTATCCGCCTCACAGCACGGCCAAGCCCCTCAGCAGTCCAGGCAAAAAGGACACAACGCACCCCATGACCGCAGAACAAAGCTGAGAGTTGGAGGCTGGGGGGACAGGACGAAGGAGCCGGTGAGGAGGCTGCTGCTGCTGCTGTTGTGGGAGGTGATGGTGTGAGAGGGGGGGTGGGGGCGCGACAAACAGCGGTTACTTGGGAGTTAATCCAGGTAGAGAGAGCAGCAGGGTCATAGCTGTGAGCAGGTTCGGGTCCTGATTGTCTGATAGCTGGTGCGCGCAGCGGTCAGAGCGCTCCGATCTGAGGGGAACGGCGGGGCTTTCCGCTTTATAACACGCGCCTACAACACAGCCAGGGAGACTCTCGCTCAAGGGGGGAGGGACGGGATGAGGAGGGAGAAGGGAAAAAAGGCAGGAAAAGACGAATAAAACGAGCGGAGATTGGTCCAAGACGCAGCGAGGGTGAAGAAAGCGAAGTTTTCTCTCTCTCTTTCTCCCTTTTTTTTCTTAAACAGACGCGCGTGAGGGAAAAGCGTTTCACCTTGGCTGCTGGTTTGCGCGCTTGATGTAGATGAATGAGCTGACATTCACAACTCCACTGCCAATAACTCCAGGCAGCCCCCTCCTCCAGCCAGCCCCAAACAAGAGAGCCTCAAAACCTGAACAAATACTGCACAACAGCTGTTGTTCATGATGTAACTTCAATATATTAAGTCTCATCATCACTGTCAGAACCTATTGTATTATTGCTAATGCTTCATGCAAATTCACACATAAGCTGAGGCATACCTTAGCTGCAAAAATCTCCATTTTATCATGTCATTTCTTATACTGTTCTCCAAAACCTCCTTTTCTTAAAGCAAGTGACATCAGCCTGTTTGGCAAAATTGTGTGATGATGAGTGTCAGTATCATCAAACAACAAAGAATAGAAGTAAAGAAAAAATTACACTAAAAGTTTGTACCAGAAACAGGTTGAAGGTCTTAAAAGGAAAATCTTCATGATTGTCATCATATCAGCCTTTTATCTTATTTATGGCTGGTATTTATTCTGCTCTTGCCATGTATTTAAACTCATTGGTCTGCCATCTGTGTGCTGTTTCAAACAGTATGAATTTACAGTAACTTTAAGTAACTTACAGGAATTGCATACACAGTGCATTTAATTTGTGTGTATGAGTATACTGTATGTCATGTAATGAAGTAATCTGGATGAGCACAGATTTAGACTGAGGGCATAAGGCTGCCATTGGCCGTGTATTTCACACAGGATTCTCCCCCCTTTCTGATATCTGCATGGTTTCAAAATCCCAGTTGCTACGGGAAACAACAAGAACAACCTCCAAGCAGGATGAAAATGGAAAACTACATATATATAAGTAAGTAAACAACAGTGATTTATGAAGACATAAAGAGATACGCAATTATTATTATCTCTCAAAGCATGTTTCCTGGCCCCAATGTTTATTCAAACAGAAATATAAGCACATACAAGCCCGTGCTTGTAAGATATTTTTAGCATTAGTAACCACAGGTTTTACCCAGTTATCCAGAACTGAAGTCTTAAGAAATATGCATTAAGACTGATTTATTCATTTGTTTTAAGAAAATAAGATTTATTGGAATCAAATTATAGACAAAAGACTTGATGAAAACAGGGTTACACACATACACATTTCCAGAAACTAATCAGTACACTAGATTGCCTGTCCAAGGTTTGCTGTATGTTCATTAGTTTTAGTGATATTCTAATTATACGTGTTTGGTAGCATAATATCGACAACATGTTAGGTGTCACGTCTAGATCTAGGAATTTGCCAGCTTTAGATTCATCATGTGTGAAACATTTAGGAGGATCTATTGTCAGAAATGGAATATAATATATAATATTATATAATATATAATATTCATAGCTATGTTTTCATTAGTGTGTAATCACCTGAAAATAACACCTGTTTTCTGTTTGTTACCTTAGAATGAGCTGTTTTTATCTACAGATGTTGTGGGTAGCCTGCCACCGTAGTTTCTCCTTTGTGATTGGAAGGGCTGGTGAAGCAAGGGAGTTTCAGTCTGCAACTACACCACTAGATGCCACTAAATCCTACACACTGGATATTTAATTGAGCTTTAGTGGTAAATTTTACCAAAAAAATGTCTAATCAATGAGTACTGCACACTAATTGCCACACAGGGCTTTCTGGACCCTTGAGAGTTTGGGGTCCTGCTTTGCGCGGCTGGTAGTCGAGGATTGGATAAGAGGGACATTTTTTCGATATGGAAAATTTTATTAGTTTATGTGATGACTGTCCCATTCACTGATGAAGACCATGAGATGTGGTTGAAAGCCCTCAGAATTCTAGTAAGTGCACCTTTGAGTTAAGACTATTTTGTCACATATAATGGAGCTGCACGTTCAAATCTGTCTAATAGATAATATTGCAAAGAATTGCCTATGTTTGTGTGTTTATGTGAGTAGGAGCCTGTGTGTGTGTTTCTGGTTTGGAGATAGAAAGATAGGATCCTTTTTGTGGAGGAACAGAAGGGGCAGGGAGGCAAACAGAAAAGAAAAGACAGGAGGGGCTGTGCTTTAATAAATCCCCAGCAGTCTCATTGCTACAACATTGCAGTGGTCAAGCATTGTCGCCATAACTCAGCCAGCAGGGTTGATGGGATCCTGCTCTGAATGGCCCAGATAGCCTTCACAGGCCCAGCATTGCATGCGGTGGTACAGCAGGCGGAGATAAATCACCAGAGTCTGGCTGACTTCCATTGTAGCCGCAATGAAGCACGATCTGGTCTCCGGTAAGGTAAAGGGCCCATAATTCAGAATTAGCTCAACATTCCCACCTTGTTGATCAGAGATTAATCCAGTTAGGCCAGTTTGCAGAATCTGAAGTGGGAGCCACAGTGCTGCTGGTGTCCCTCAAATACCAGAGTCATCTAGGCAGAGGCCAATAGGGTCGGGACTTGGAAGGACCCTGTACTGGACAGTATTCTACCTGATGATTTATGTGCAGTGCCAATGCAGGAAGTATTGTGTCCTTTATTCAGAGAGGAAAATGTAGTGAATTGAACATTCGTTTCTGGTTGCCATACACCATACCTTAACTCTAACCAAGAATCTACCACAGCAATCTTTCTCTAACCATACTGTGCTCGCCACATGCAGATACTGCACAAAGAAAGAATTGAATTGATGCGAAATATGCATAGGCTTGAAACATTCTACAAAACATCATGCGATCCTCATTTTTCCCCTTTCCATTAATTTGTCCAGAGTGACCCAAAATAAGTCTGTTTATCCTCCATAGGAACAACAGCCAAATGTCATCCAGAATGACATGTCTTTCCAACAAACTGCAAACAGTGTGTTATCAAAACGAGACCTCAGAAATACAGGTAATGAGAGGTAAATGCAAGATTGTGGCCATTTTCTATGGATGTAGCTGGGTACCTAGCTATGTAGGAAGACGACATCCCCATCTTAATCCAGTCTGTTGACTGGTTATATCTCTAAGTAGGGGAAACAGCTATCAGTGAGCAGTGAGCAGTGAAAGTGTTGGGTGGATTGAACTTCCCTGTACTTGCATATTACTGAGTATATGTCAGCCCTGTCTCCGTGAAATTAGGTTTATATACAACTAATTTGCAGGGAAACATAATGCTGACCAAATTACATTTCAATTAACATAATGAGGAAGTGTTAATTAACATACCTGGCAAGTTGAAAAAATGTTGATACCCTAACCCTAAATTGTGATCTTTCCCTAATCTCAACCAAAGTGCTTTTGTTGCCTAAACCTTACCAAAATCATGATTTTCTCTAACCTTAACCAGAGTCTGGACACAAACCCTGGACTGTGATGTGAGCGTCCTGCACTTTGTACACCCCCACCACCTCCTTGCACCTCCACCGCATTACATAAATATAGTTTTTTAGTAGACGTTATCTCTAAACATAATCCAGGCACATATTAGTTTTCACCACAGCATAATTATGAAAACAATTTAGTAATATACAAATGTAATTACTATGAGACTGGGTTGAATATCTAGGGTTCCCTGGGTTTTTTTTAAACTGTTGGATTGTGACATCTAGGTTGCATCTACACTGGCGTTAAACATTGTCACTGGATGCAAATGATGGAGTGCAGAATCGTCCAATATTAATGTAATTCCAAAAATAACTGGGCTGGTGTTTGGTTTCATGCAGCACTCCTGAGATTGACAGAAAACCTGCAGAAGTTAGCAGAGTGGTGTAAATAATCAATTTCATAATAGACGTTCCCCTAACGATTATGAAAATCTAACAACAGTGGCTTGTGCAGACATTGAGTATAGAGACACCTCTCATCTGAGGGTGGTTTGGCCTCGCTAGCCTTAAAATGTATGTAATATAAGCATGAAAAAAAAGAGAATCTATTTAGTGCTTTGAATAATGCTTTGGAATGTGCTCCCAGTCAGTAACGTAGACAGTCAGCGGGGAAGTATGAGTCTCATTGCATTTCAAGGGCACTATAGAGCATCAGTAAAGCACAGAGAGCTAGAACTGAGCCGCTGAGTTGTGTCAGTGTCACAGAATGAGAACCATTCACAAGAGTGATGTGAACACAGCCGGGGCTTGACGACCATTACAAAAGGGGGAGAAAGAGAACATTTCTTACTTCTCAATCAAACACCTGCTCTCCTTCCTCTTTTCACCACCAGATCGTCTCTCATTGATAGAGTATAATCACGAGGTCAAGTTGCAAATTTTCCAAGCACACCTTTTGGTGCCCATTCAGTGCTGGGGGAGAAAATTACAGGGTAGTCTCTTCCTAATAGCTTACCATTGGGCGGAAAAGAGGAGGGGTTAGAGATAAAAACAAGAGAGAGGAAGAGGATGATTGCCCAGCTGAGTGACGCTGGCGTCCGGTGGCATGAATATGTTCGGCTGGCTGGGCTCCATCGCCGATTGTGAGGGCAGATGTTGCCGCGGGCCCTCAGGCGTGGCCACGAGGTGGTGGCAGCAGGTTTGCCGTGGCTGCTGCCCAACCAGCTGCCATCTGAAGTGTCACTCCACATCCGCGACAAGGGATAGGAGTCAAACTGGGCTTGACCAGAAGGGCCGAGGGCGCGCTTCACGCCATGTGTGGCGACAAAAGGCCCGGCGTTCTGCAGTCACGGTCGAGGCTGCCAGTGCTTTTCAGGAGGATGTTGAGGGTGGGTGGGTGGGCGGGCTGAGGGGGAGCTGACAGAGACAAATGGCTGAGCAGAGCGTCGGTCACAGGATGCAGCTGGTGCACATCAATCGCTTCCTCATCACAATTAGAATGACTGCCGGCTTCAGCGTCGAGGAGCAGGGATGGAAGCTCAAGTTTCCATTTGGCTTATTGAAGGGTGCGAGTCTTCAAATGAAAGAGATTTGTGGCTTATTTTTGGCAAAAACTTTCAGAACTTAACTTGGGTATGGTAGAACGCCTTCATTCTTTATGCTGTTAGAAACTATGCAATAAAATAATTCTTGAATAATGCTTGTGAAAGGATAAGTCAGGTTTTTGTAGCTTGGGTCATTCTTTCTGTTGGTCATGATTGGTCATCAAGTTTAAGGCTAAAGTTTGGGAATGTAGTGACAAGGCTGCCTAATATCCCAGAATTAAATTCATATTGGATGATTCTGCCCAATGCCAGTACAGGATGAGCGTGTCCTTTATGTAGCAGTCAGAGCTTCAGACAACAAGACAAAAGTTTATCCAGATGAAAATACTTTAAAAAAACGTAATTATTGAATGTGTGTGCACACAAACTGTTGCTAATAACTCCGGTAAGATTAGTAAAACATGGGTTTTGTGTAAAACCTGCGCTTCTACTGTAAGTGTTTATTCCCCTTTTAGGGTTGCAGTGTTTGAAGTTCTTAGCAGTCTAATTGTTGACTACTTTTGCTGCAATGACAAGTAAAAAACAGTAACGAACCAGAATTATGCTTTAAAAGGTGGCCCAAATTAAAGGTGTGCCAAATATAGACTTTTTTTTTTATAAATTTTTGAGGCATTTGTGAATTGTCTAAAAGGAGGACGTTTCAGAAGTGACAGGAAATGAGGAGAGAGTGAATGACATGTGACAACGCCCCAGACAACAGGAGCAAAAACTGAGCATCAAAATCCTTGTGATCAAGCGCAAAGAAGAGACAAAAAGGCCTTCAATCTTGGCGGGCTCTTTGCAAGTTTAAAGTGTTCCAGAGGCTCAGCTCTCTCGGAGCAAGCTTCCCACATCCCACTTGCTGCCAATGGCACAAGGCTCCAGCCACCCACTATCAAAGGTTCTGGCCGTGCCCGACATTGGTACGATTTTGGTCTTCTATTTTTGAGAAATTGTCTTTTATTCGTGACAAGGAGGTCAGCCATGACCCTTTAACAGTAGTCTTTGGTGATGATGGTATCTGTAGCCCGTACAGATGCCATACCCTTTTCATCACTATTGGCTCGATGCCTTATCTAACTGGAAATCAGCTACCCCTCCTATACACAGACGCTGGGTTAGGGGTGTGATGGCACATTTCAGAAGCTAAGGTACCCCAGCAGGGGGTCTGTGGATTTTATATCGTCTGGCAGCCCTTTTTGGACTGCCTTGACTTGAAATTCCCCGCTAGAGATGCTGAAAAATAGGACTAATTGATTGAACTGACTAACATTCTTTGTAATATGTGTAACAATAAGTATTTTTAGATTTGTATAATCTATCTCATCCTGGATGTTTTTTTGATGTCTTGCTGATTGTATGTAGTGTATGCTTTTGCATTTAGCTGCTACAAATATTTGTAGTCCTGTAGATTGGCTCTGTCTGCCCCACATGAAATTCTGCTCTCAGGTTCAGTATATGGATCATGTTCCAGAAAGAATCTGAGAACTTAAAAGTGAAATCACAACTAAGAAAGACCTGAACTGAACAACATCACCTCTTTTGCATCTCTTGTTCCTTAGGTATATTTTGCAATAAATCATCAAGATCAGCTTGCTGGTAAATATCAGTGTGCTCTGTGCGGTTTACTGATGTTAAATTGTAGGAATTCTGAGTTTAAGGAGCAAGCAATGTTACAGGTTATTTCTGTCATTGGTTAAGGCAGATATAAAAGGCAGAAAACATAAATTATATTTAATCAGACATGAGGACATTTTTCCACAGGCTGCTTCTCTCACACACTACTGTATATGCAGCCTTCTTCCAAAAGCCTTTTTTAAGGCAGACCACCACTTTCCTTGATTGAGGCAGTGCTTTATTTTATCAGGAAGAGATTATCAGTTAAAGGAAACATCTTTTATCTTTGGGCTCGGGGGAACAGAACTTAGAAACAAAGAATGCTGCGTAGATGATCTTTAGTGTTTGACCTAGTGTCCTTAATCAAATTTTTTTGCCAGATCTTGATGTCTCTGAGGTCGCAGCAAAGTCACCCGTTTGAAGTGGGTTTTACAACCTGACTTAATTGATTAGGGCAGTCCGTAGGACTTCCTTTTCTTGGCAGAGGGAATTTAATTGGAAGACTGAGACATGATTATGTGAAGTGCTGATTAAATGAGAGGACCAAAACCATGTAGACTGCCTCTCTTTTACTTCCCAACATCCGATCATAATCAGTGGCTCTGATGATAAAGGCAATTACATTACTTCTACAAGCAGAGGACAACAATTTAACCAATGGAGGAAAAGAATAATTATAGCTAATTGTCTATCTACATGACTGCATTAGGACAGAATCCGTCCCTTCAGGGTCCATCTGTACCCAGAAACACAGCGTGGTAAAAAACAAAAATTAGGTAAATGTCTGTCTGCAGCCTTCTAATCCAGTACCAAATGCTTGACCTCAGTGCAGTTTTTTTCTTTTTTTGTGTATTTTCAGCCACATTTCTGTATCCATTCTTCATGACAGAGGTTAATTTGCACTGACCCTCCCTTTCCAGCTAAGCACTCCTCTTTTGTCTCTCACAGAACTGGAAGTTTTACACAACCTATGAGCTCAGTCTTTGAACAAAGTGGAGCAGTGAGAATATTGTCCCACCTCTGTAAAGGCTGTCAGGCCTCTCAGAACGGCGATAAAAATGAGACAAAACTACCGGGAGGTTGTTTTTTAGGTTTTTACAGCATGTTAAGGCATCATAGCATCACCAAACCAGAATCCTGCTGCATCAGGCTGAGCAGCCTGCACTCCTTTAGCTGTCTTTTACTGACATCTGGTGGTGATATACTGCAGAATATTGACTTCAGTTTCCTGATTTTATGGTTTTGAATCAGTATGAATTTACTATGCATTCATCTGTAAAGCAGAACACTTAAATTAGCTCAGATATTACACTGAGATTGTCAACTTAGCTCCAGTGCTCCATGCTATAACAAACAAACAAGAAATGTTGATTTCCATGCTACTACTGAAGAATATACTGTTAATACCTTGGCACCATCAAACACTGACCTTTAATACCAATGGTGAGCTGATCCTTTGTTCTTGTAAGATGAGGAAGCTCGCAGTCCGGCCATCTGTCCTGCAGGCCTTCTACAGAACCTTTGTGGAATCCATACTGACCTCCAACATTACAGCACGGTTCCGAGTGATGAGTGCTCTCAACCAGAACCCACGCAATAGAATTGCAAGACCACAGGATCAGCATCATCTATAAGAAACGGACAGTAAGGTAGGCCTGAAGACACCACACACACCCTCAACACCGACGGCATTCAGTTTGAGCCAGAATCCGGCAGGTCATGTTGGGACCAATCAGGTTCGGGCAGAGAATCAGAGCTCTACCATGCACACACACACACAAACACACACACACACTCACACACAAACACACACACACACACACACACACACAGAGAATTAATGCACAGTAGCACTTCTGCACTGTTACTGCACTTTTTTTTGTATCTTAATTTATGTGACTTAGGTGTGTGTTTTACGTATGGTGGCTGCACACAATGATTAACCATTGGTTGATTTCGCTCAGGCCCGGTGGATTTGTGCAAATGGCGCCCTAATAGCATTTTTTCACAATTATCTGTCTCATGTTCCACTGTCAAGATATAGTAAAAGATAAAAGAGCAGTTTTAAGATCTTAGTGAGAGCACTTTAGAGCACAGAAAGGTCTAGAATGCAACCTTTGACCTTTAGGGAAAGGCCCTTTTGGTTGTTCCACAAAGACTAAAGGAGACTCTTTCTGTATTAGGAACAGCCTACCTGAGGAAATGAGGCTAGCTGAATCTGTTTCATCTTTTAAATCCCTCCTAAAAACTGACGTGTGTTATGTTCTTAATCTTAATAGTATCTCTGATGTGTTTTCAGTTGTATCTGTTTACCTCATACATTGCTTGTAATCGTATTCTTTAGTGCTGCTATTTTTATGTGTATGTAAAGCACTTTGTAAACATTGTAAAAAAAAAAAGTGCCATACAATTAAAGTTAATATTATTATATATTATTTCTGTAAAAAATAGTTTGCTTACTTTGTCGAGCCTGTTGTCCTTTTTTATTTTGTTGCTGTAAGCCTATACTGTGTATTAACATTGCAAGTCAAATTCCTTGTATGTGTATGCATACCTGCTCAGTAAAACTGATTCCGATACTGATAAGCACAAAACTGAAATAATTAAGCTCTTAAAACCAGATTTAGACACTGAACCAGAAGTTGGTGTCTCCTCGTGGCATTCTGACCACCAGGGTACCCAGGTGCTCATAATGTTATGGCTCATCAGTGTATGTGGCATATGGGTAATGAGAACTGTATAAAAAGTTTAAAAATAGGAAAAACTCATCTCTGAACAATAGTCATAGGAAATAATCTTCTCAAAATTCATCCAAATTCCTACAGTTATTGTGTTCACTGTTTGAGTTCACTGTACAGTTTAGTTGTTCTGTATTCGTTCAATATAATATATAATCATAGAAAAGGAAATAGGTTGGGAACCACTGGGTTAGCTTCAGTCAGAAGCTTCAGTAATTGTACTGTGTTTATTTCCAGTTTCTCCCTATCCTAATTAATAAACCTATGGATAAACTTATACACTTTATCTATGGGGTCTTGGTGAAAGAAAGGTGTTTCTCTGACTGTCGAAGTGCATGGCTCATGTATAGTTGACTTTATATATATTCCTATAACCTTCTGAACACTGCATATTTCATCCTGTCTCTGAAAATCCAACAACACCTTCAAATATTCCCTTGTTTATTATCAGCAATTAGTCAAATACATATAAACAAACAGTAGGAAAAGGACAGAATTCATCAGCGACTTTGTTTTTCACAAGGTTATCAATATCGCTTTTTGCGCACACCCATTTACTCCTCCAGTTTTTTTCAGTTTTTTTCTTTTGCGCAACATCTTGTGCAGTAAAAAAGGAAACACATTATGGTACATGAACAATAAATAAAAAAGAAATATTTAGCACTTTATTTACAACTCATATTCCAAGAAATATAAAATAAACATTCCGTTAACTCACTAGCAACAAACTCCACAGAATATTAAACTGCCATACTCTGGCAAAGATATGATCTCTCATACTGATAAATAATACACTGCTCACTTTGGGTGACTGGACTTTTAGCGTAAATCAGGCAGAATTGTATGATTTCAAAATAATACTCTACTACTACTCATACAGTGATTTCGCCTGAACTCAATTTTTATCAGTAGAAAAGCTTCTGGAAAGGACTTTACACCACCATAGGGCAGTAAAAGTGACCCAGAGTGATAGTTGTTTAAGGGCTGAAAGTTATTTAAGACAGGGAGACCACAACAACTCTTCATTGGTAAGGTCTCTCTTCATGACTGAAGAGTTCACTTTGATAAAATGTCTTTAAACACTTGAATGGGTGAATCAAACCTGTACGACAATGTAATTCTTCAGGTTTTCTGTAGCTGTGAACAGGGAGGATCATGTCTACAGTGAATTATTTGCTTCCTATCGTACTACAGCATACACCCACCATTAGACCGGATTAGACTTTGAGGGCAATGTGAGCTGATACAGACAGGGTAGCTCATGAAGACCTGTTCGGGTTATTAAAAACATATTAATAACTTAAATCTATACCTGCAGGCATGATGGATTGCTGTAAAACATACATTCATAACCCAAAACCTGATGGCTTATGAAGGATAGACATTACCAAAAGGAATCTATTAAGCATTGGCAAAGTGTCAATATTAATAAAGTCATTTGTAACCCTGTATAAAGTGGAACAAAAATCTGAATTCTGGTTGGACCCCAATTGACCCCAAGGTTGCCTTCAGATGGCCAACAAATTCTAATTACCAAGGACACATTACAGTGGGACACTTCAATGAAGACAATGTTGGAACCAGTAACCAGTAAGTATCAAGTTTATGGAAAATATAACTACCCTGTGAAGAATGTTTACAGTATGTACCAAATTTGGAGGAGTCTTTGGAACGACATGATCAGGGTTTTCTTGACAATACAGGACAGCACTTGCTCACTAACGGCCATATAATTAATCGTCTCAGGTTCATTACTGGTAGGTGGTCATTGTTTACGGTACAATCCACTTTAGCTTGCTTTCTTTTCTCAACACAGCAGATTTTTCCGTTGCGTCTCCGGCAAATTGACTTCAGTTTACTGCAGTTTTCTTTAACTGTAACATCGATGACTCGATGCCAAACAAAATATGCACCCAGGTTTATATAGGAGGGGAGCTAAAATATTATTTCCAGGATATTTGGTCAAATTAATACATTTTCAGGTGTTTCCATGACTGGAAAACTAGTCTCTAAATTTGCAGGATATGTGGGAGCCTTGGTGATTCTCATCCAGTCCATCAGACTAACAAAATCCTTAGAGCCAGGTTATGCTAGAAGAGAACTAGTCCATAACCAAAGTCAAAAGTGTCTGTTCCAAAATGGCCACACTGGAAGGCAAGTGAAAGCTGACCATCAAACGGAGGAGGAAGATTCAAGCGTGATAATGGTGATAATGGCACGCAGTCTCTCCTGGAAGGCAGTCATAGTGTTGTAATCTGATTTACAGAAACAGGTGAGTAAAGGATGAAAAAAAGAGTTAGACAAGAGAGAGAAGTTCACACCCACGGTCCTCCACAAGGTGAAGCTGACGTGGGTGTGAATGCCAGACTATTGGTTTCGGGAAGGTAGAGAAATGGTTGCGCTCGGACCCCGCCGTCCAACATCGGAAAGGTATGTTTGAAGGAGTTCAACCATCCGACAAGCAGTTCTGGCAGGCGCCTTTAAGACCAAGTGCTTGTGATGTCAGTATTGTTCCTCTATTTCTGTCGAACTCTCTGACAATTCGACAACCTTCCTGACTTTATCCAGCCATTGGAGGTATGTAGAAGTTTCAGCTTCTCCCTCAGCTCTTTTTCACGCAACTACAAGACAAGACTACAAAGAGACACAAAAGACCAAGAGTTCCAAGAGATAAATGTCAAGCTATGACAGCAGGCTTTTTACATCTCTTCAAGAGTGGCCATTCAGGACATGCAGGTTCAAAATGCTTTTGCTTTTAGAAGACCTTTATGAAATCAAGGAATACAAGTCTTTTGACCAAGAATGAAAGAATTCTGAGATGTAGGTCAGAATCAAAGAAGTATTCTTTCATCTCTGACTTCTGACGTTTTTCAAAGTCTGATATGTTTCTCAGATTATGAACTCATTATTTTAACTGACTTCTAAGATTCATCTGCAAACTCAAATGTCCCAAGCCTCTTTATACATCTGAATACCAAGATTCAACATTAAATTATCCTCCAAATTCAGATTTTGTTTCCACTTTTCTTCTCATATCAAAGCTAAAGGGTTTCAGAATGGAAGGGGTTTCTATGGATCTCCTGCAGTCTGAGTTGATGATAATAATGCCACAGTCAAAGAATTGTCAGAGAATAAATTAACTCAGGCAGAGTTTGGGACAGGTAGCTGTACATACTAGAAAGGTAAAGTTGAGAACACAGAAAAAAATTGTATTTACATTGCGTCCCATCATATCACACATAAGAGGTAATAGAAGAAAAATATTAACAAACATTGGTGAGTTCTGTTTGCAAAAAAAGTCTACTTTTTTACATTTCTAGCACAAGACTGTACACCATCTTGTATTGAGAGAGGCAGTTTCCTATGGCAAAGCTAGACATAAGTACATATCATGCTGCACTAATATAGTGCAAAATTATGCCTGAAAAACAGAAGGTAGGGGCAGGCAGAAGTGATGGTGGCTCTGGGAATTACACTTTTGTTCTCTGGATTTATGTTTTCTTGCAAGATGGAGCCAGGCCACAATGACACAGAGGAATCTGAATGTTCTTAATGTTCTTAAAGAATGACAAGTGTCCGAAACACATGATCCCACTCAGCGGTAAAAAAAATGAACAAAAAAGACTAATGAAGATTTGTGCTTTTAGAGCAAAATCTTTTGTTTGGGGGCGACCCTCTCTGACGACTGTGGTTTGTTACCGGCAGTAGTAGATGGCAGAGAAGTAAAGGCAGACTTCCAGAAGAAGATAAAGAATTCATGAAGGCTCTTGTGAAACAAAGTATCAAAATGGAAATTAAAAAAAGACAACAGGGACATCAAGACTGCTAATGACATGGATTCAGTGTCTTGAGCTGTGAGGTTTCTCTTTCTGTCAGAATCATCTTCCCAGGGTGTCCACCTGTAGGTTGAACAATGCCCAGTGGCAGCCCTGACATCAAGGGTTTCCATAGAAACCCTGTGTGTCCTGCAGTAGGACGAATGTCTGTAGGTCAGTGTGGTCAGCAGGAAGACTTCTACATGTCAGCGTCTCCGTCGTAGGCCAGAGTCAGTGGCTTCAGTCTGTTGTTCATCTGCCGTCGTTGTGGCCTCTTTGGCTTTTTGCTACAGAACAAACAGGGAGAGAATGTTTAGAGAATCTGGCCTCAACCGTTCCACCACATATTTGCTTTAACCTTTACCACCAAGAGCATCCTTCAGTGCGACAGGCATAGTGCTATTGCACATGAGCCAGAATGTTTCCACATTCCTGTGGTCAGTTTGCCCCGTAGTTTATGGACCATACCACTGTCTTTTCATTGTCTTTAAAACACATATAAACGTATTCCTTGCCGCCGTCACCGAGAGCTTGCCCATGGTGGGAACTGTTGGGTCTCTGTAAATAATTTTATAAGGAGTTCGGTCTAGACCTGCTCTATTTGAAAAGTGTCCTGAGATAACTTTTTTAATGAATTGTTGCTATACAAATAAAATGAATTGAAATTGAATATAAATTACCTTTCATTCATACATTTACAATAACGGATTAAGAATGTTTTTACCTTGCAGGCAGCCATTGAATTTCATGTATTTCACTAAGGTATGACAGATTTGAAAACTCCTAACCTTAACATAATATGTTGTTTGCCTACCAAAAAGACTGCTAACACTGGGGTCAGTCATTCTGGAGAAAGATCATCACCTCAGATCATCAAATAATGACGCTTTGGGTTATGGTGAATGGGAAACAAACTAAGTGACTCCGAAGCTTTAGCTCAACCATCAACTTCAAATCTCTGCTCCACCTTCAAGGTTTAGACAAGTTCAGGTACAAAGACTACTTGGTAGGGTAAGGAAATGATCATTGTTAGGCGGCTGTGGCTCAGAGGCAGAGTGGGTCGTTCTTTAATCGGAAGGTTGTGGGTTCGATCCTCATGTCGAAGTATCCTTGAGCAAGATACTGAACCCCAAACTGCGCCCGATGCCGCGCATCAGTGTGTGTGTATGAATGTTAGTTTCTGTTCGATGGACTTTGCCATCACTGAGTCAATGTGTGTGAAAGGGTGAATGTGGCACGTAGTGTAAAAGTGCTTTGAGTGGTTGGAAGACTAGAAAGGCGCTATACAGGTACAGGTCCATTTACCATTGTTGTGGTTAGGAAAGGGAAAATGAATATCAGTCAGTCATTTGCTTGGTTGACCACATATAATCCAGCCTCGCCCCCATTACGTTTTTTGTTGCTATCACAGTTTACACTACCCTTCTGCCTTGTTTATGACAGAAAACAGTCATTTATTTTTACACGAGGAAATGCACAAACATGGGGAGAACCTGGATTCCAACCCTGGACCCTCTTGCTGGGAGCGAACAGTGCTAACCATTGTTACAGCAATAATTTGAGAAACTGTGGTGTGGTTCTTTGGTAGTGCCATTGTTGACCAGCAATACAGTGGTTATGTAATATATATTTGAAGGAAACAGACTTATAAGTATTTGTTCTATTGTTCTGATACAGTATAAATATTCTGAACAGCATTTATATTGTAGACTGCAGCTTGATGAGACATACTGTATCACATTTAATATAAGAACTGTGGACAGTGACATTACTTTGTACAATAATTAAAATAATGGTTCTATGTAATTGAACCAATAAACATTGAAATGGAAGAGGACAGTGTCGACATAAAGTATGTGAGGATGACCACAAGATGGCAGCAAAGGAGAGATATTGACATTATGACTGGCCTGCAGGTTGTGAACTCCTTTGTTTCCTGATGTTTGAACAGTGAAATGTCACTCTCTGAGGTCACGTTCACTGTATTTTTTCTGTAAAACTTAGTTTATAACCCACAGTTTAACAAAATTACACATTGTGGGTATTAACCTGACCCATGCTAGTGGTTTTAAACACCATATATTGAGTATAAACAAATAAAAAATAAATCCATTATTTTCCCACCAGAGTTCTTGTCGCAGTGGAGGTTTAGAGATAACCAATACAGAGAATGGAATGTGGGAAAGCTGTCATTTGCCTATTATGGTAACTCACCACCTCACACTATAGTGGCAATAGTGCTAGCAGTGGTAGTACAGTAGTGGAAGCTGCAGGACTGGTTGGGGTCCTGTGTTTTCAGATGCTGTAACACATTAACACACAATTGACTGTATGTAGCAAAGTGTGTCTGCGCTGCAGTACATCCTGCCCAATTGGTACTGCCCATGTGCAGCTCTTAACAAAGATGGGACGCAAACGGGATGGCTCACTCGTTAGCAACCACCCATAAACAGCTCCGAAAAAAAGTGACAGGATATAGTGACATCTTCAGTAACCATTAGAAAAAAAAAAGTTACCTACTGCGGCTTTAATGTGTAACATCCGCTGTAAACGCAGGCCCCCAAGCAGACCTTGTACCTACACCGGTAGTTGTAGTGTTGTTGTTACAGCAGTAGTAGCTGTAACTATGGTTTTCAGTTAAGAGTTAATAAAAATGTAGAAAAAAATATACACTACTCTAACTAAATATCAGATATTGGTAGCTTCAGAGCTATAAGTCTTAAAAAGAATAGCTCAATGCTCTGGGAAATTAGCAGTTTGTTTAAGAGCAAACCTATGAAGTGCAGTAACCCTGAAGTTGTGGTGTGTTTGATGGACTGCTCACCTCCAGGAAGTGATCCACTGAAATGAGTGTACAGGCACTGGGGGTGTTTGGGCACAAATGAATGTCAGGCGTAGTGAGTTACAGGTGGGTGAGGTGAGGCCCTGACTAAGTGATTAGAGTTTCAAAGTGAGTTGGTGGGGGTGGGGGTGGTAGTGACTGCTGCTGCTGCGGGTGTTGTTGTGATCCTAGAGGCTGTTGGAGCAGAGCCTCACATTGCTGCTGCGGCTGCTGCTGCTGGTGCTGTTGGGGTTGACCGTGCCGCTGTAACTCATCTTGCTCTAGTTTCTGGCAGGCAGGACAGGTGTAAGGCACAGTGTAGCTGTTTTGGTCCATCCAGTAGACCCCGTCTGAGGGGGACTTGGATCTCGACTTGCAGCAAAGGCAACAACAACAATAACTGAGCAGTGGGGGTGAGGGTGAAGGTGGAGACAGAAAAACAAGAAATGAAGGTGACAAATGATGACGGAACTCAAAGTAAAATGACAAAATAAAATTAACTGAATGAATCAACACAAGCAGTGATGTAATGGAGGTTATATTCAGGTATATGTATATATATATATGTATATTTTAATCAATTTCCAGGTGTTCCAGGACATGTGGGAACCTTGATATGGCAGGCACTGAGGAATTTATTGCTTTTTTGACTACATTTAACATCAACACTGATCTTTATTTAAAAATCACAGCAGCAGCAGGGAAGGAGTTGGAGAAGGGAGTCTGTAAGTTAACACTAATTCAGCATAGTCCACTCATTCATCATTTATCAGACTTGGATTTCCTTAATGGATAATAAACTGCATTTTTTGTTATTTTATCTTTGAAAGTTCTCCACTTTATCAATATTTATCAAATTAAAGTGGCAATATCCAATGAAAACGTCCTTCTACCACCTCTGTAACTATCAGAAAAGTAGATTTGAATGGTTTTGTTAACCCTTATCCGTGTTTTGTTTAAACCTATTGGCCCTTTCTTCATTATGACCTCCATCAGTTCACTGAATGTAGGTGAATGACGGCATGAATGGTCACTGATGTGATGACAGAAAGAAAACACACAGGTAGATAACACATAAGCGCTGGTACGTTACCATGCTAAGTACGTCATGGAGATTATGAAGACGAGCAGAACAAATGCTCCCGCTGCTACTCCGTACACCCAGGTCTTCAGCTTCCCATCTGCACAGAGAATCACACACGCAGCCTTACATTACATACTGTAGGACATTTCACTTCCCTGTCTGAAGCTGAAGGGGGCAGTAGAGTTATACACATAACGCAGTGTGGAATTCAATTCATTTTGGCACATTACACTCTCTCTGTAATAAAAAGGTCATTTGGATCGGAAAAAATAAGTAAACTTCCCTCTCTACTGCTTGCATGCTGTAATATTAATACATAAACAGTATGCAATTCACGTACGTAGGTTTTGAACATGACAAAAAATCTCACAAATATAATAATAATAATCATATGAAGTGGTCATAAATCAGACCAAACCTAATCAGGGTATCTGGGAATCTTCCCAATTACATTCAAGCCACCAAGTTATCAAGATAAGTTTTTATCATATTTACTGAAATCTATATCCTAACAGGGTTTGACGACCTGGGAATGAGAATCAACAATCAACAGCCTTAGCAACCATGATCTTTCTCTCTCTAACCTTGCTCATTTCTGCTGTTCTTCCTGTTCCCTCCTCCATTGCTTGTTCCTCCTTTCTTTCTTATTATATTTCCTTTATTCCTATTTTTCTTCATTTTCACCTTTTATTCCCTCTTTTTACTGTTTTTCTTCCTTTTTTCTTCTTGCTTTCATTCTTCCCCCTTTCTTTCCTCCTTTTTCCTTCCTTCCTTTATTCCCCTCTCCAGTCATTCATTTACATTTTTCCTTTTTACCCTTTTCCTATTTTCCTTCTTTCCTCCTTTATTTCTTCTTCCTACCTTGTTTTTTCCTTTTTGCTTTATTGAAATTTTTCCTTTGATAGTCTTCCATTCTTTTTCCTTTTTTCCTGTTCGTCTTCCTTCCCTTCTCCATGCCTTGATTCCCTTTTTTATTTCCTTTATATTTATAATTATTTCCCTTCCATTTCAGCCATTCATTACACTTCCTTTCTTAAATTTTTCCGATATTGCTGGTGCTGTCCCCTTGTCCCTTTATTATCATCACTATATTATTGCTTTTCATAACAGATAGAGGTTTGTTCTTTTCAACACTGAAATCCCTTCCTTCATCCACCCATACTTGCTTTCTCTTATCATTTTCCCCTTCCCTCCTTCCTTTCTGCCATAGGTCCTCCCTCTGTTTCTCCACTCATTACTACCCCTCCTTCCACTCCTACTTTTATAGCTTAGTAAGCAATGATCTTGTGCTCTCAGCAATCACACACATTTCCTACAGAAAACGCACTCTAGTCTGAGTAATTTGGTACAAACCTAAAATGATTTTCTTTGTCTCATTCTGCCACTGTTTTGGTGTGTGTGAAACTATCAGAATCTACCGTTTACTATTATTTATATTCTGCTTCACTGTATTATTCTACACTTCCTCTTAAAAATCCACACTCATCAACATTTAACATGATAAAAACATTGGTGTCACAGACTGTGCCAAGGTGTGTTACCTGGGCCGAAGGGCTGCAGGAACCAGGTGCGTCCCGCCCTGCCCGGTGTGCTGGCTTCAGGTTGCGTTGGGTTGAAAGCTCTGATGGTCTTGACGTCGGCCTTGTTGTCACCTGCAGTGGGAATCTCCAGCACTGGGATGACCGTGCATTGGTCCAGCAGGCCATCAGAAGTCATCACTTCAGTGTAGCCATCCTCACAGCCACACACGCCCGCCTGACACAGGAAGGGGGAACACAAGGGTTTAACATAATGAAATGGACAAATCAGCCTTATTCCCAGTTGCCAGAAAAACTTAAAAGTTTTGCTGGGTTGGTTTTAAAAAACATTTTAACGACATAGAGTTTGTTATGTTGCTGCTGACGGCGTAAGATGAAAAGTCAGAGGATCAGCAAAATGTATTACAATTGATTTTGAGGGGAATAAGATAGCAATCCATCCAGTAGCTTTGGAGACATCAGTCTGAGCCTAGAACCGCAGTGGTAGGTGGCTACTAAACAAGAAGATTAGAGAAAAGTAAAAGTTTTTCTTTTTTATTTATTTCTTTCGTATCTTATAGACCCTTAAGATTTACCTTTAGCCCTACTGGGTAACCAGAACCAGTGGTCTACACAGAACAATCTGGGAAGTTGTCTATGGCACTTTCAAAAAAATACTTGTCTGTCATGGGCGAACTTTAACTAATCAGATAAACAAAGTTAGTCGGGAGAAGAGCAAAAACATCTTTTTCATGGAGAAAAACCTTCAGTGTTGCTCTTTGCTCTTCTTCCAATGAGGAAACACCCTCTAGTTTTGACATAACTGATGCAGCCGCCACTGTTGTTTTCGAATTACATCACTCCCAAACATAGCTGCCAGTAGTTCCTCATACATCCAAACCATTGCGGTTCGGGCACAAGTGCACAGCTTGAAACCTTGAATTTTATGTTCTCACAAATCCAGCTTTACCTTCGATCCCCGGCTCCTCCCGCCACATGTCGAAGTATCCTTGAGCAAGATACTGAACCCCAAATTGCTCCCGATGCTGTGCATCACTGTGTGAATGTGTATGAATGCATTAGTTTCTGTTTGATGGGCTTTGCCGTCACTGGTTGAATGTGTGTGAAAGGGTGAATGTGGCATGTAGTGTAAAAGCGCTTTGAGTGGTCGGAAGACTAGTAAGGCGCTATACAAGTACAGGTCCATTTACCATTTACCAGACAGCTCAGAAAATACTCGTAGCAGTCTTTTATCAAGACATCTAAAGCTCTCTGTATATAAAGGTTGAATTTTATACACGTTAAAAGATACCAACAAAACATGAATGGTAAAGGAATAAAGAAAATAAGCCCACACAGGCGTAACAAACATGAATGGATGAAGAGAAACCACAGGGGGAAAGAAAAGATTATGACGGAAATCTTAAGTAACTTGTTGACTTCCAAATCAGCTCTGGTTTCTGTAACCCTCGTCTGATTAACATCTGTCAACCTGTCTTCATTCTCCTTGAAAGCAATTCTACTGTATTTTCACCGATATGTCAGCATTTCTGCAGGCAGACGAAGAAGCAGGTGAGGTGAAGAGTGTAAACTGTGAAGTGCAGGGAAAATGACATGTATTGCGACTTCTTTCAACTGCTTCCACTTAGTAGTAGAGCACCATGCCACTGCCAGTGTTGTTTTTGAGTTCTGCTCCTAAGGCTGAATCCAGGGTGTTTAGGCCATTTTGTTGTGGTTTCAGGTATTTTCAAATGTAACTTCTCTCACTCTATTTTTCTCTTTGATGTCGTAAGATTTTATTTGTGGGACAGCATTTCCATTGGTCCAAAGCAAGAACATCACAATGTCTTAGAGAAAGGGATAACAAAATACAGCCTTCAATCTTCAATGTACAGGTCCAGGCCAAGTCTCTGTTTTAGATCTGTTTGGGTCGACATTTCCATATGGGTCTTCCCGACCCCTGTACCACCACACCAAATCGGGCCCAACCCGACTGAAGCCCCAAAAAAACGTGCGGAACCAGTTTCAACAGGTTAAATTAATTCACATACGTTGCCTTTTAAATAGATTTTCAAGGGTCCATTTCTGATTGGCACCTGTGAAGACCTCTATTGCAGTGGCACGAGCATGGATTCTGTTCCAACTCAAGGTGTAATGTCTCAGATCTCAAGAATTTGGGTTAGGAAAATCATGGCAAAAGCCATGTAGTCTGCAGTAGGCTTCATAAACTGAAGGATGCAAGGATGTTTAGAATCACATTGTTATCCTCCAGGATTGATTGAGTTGGAAAAAGGGGCCTTGATCTGTCGGTAAACAACGTACAAAGCAATGTCGATACTGTTTGTGTCATTGTTGAAATGAAATAAATACAGAAAGACGAAATCATAGAGCACCTTTGATAAAGCTATGATTTAGCTGTACAATCTCATAAAATCAGCTCAGTAACAGTGCTGCAGTCTATTGCTACTGTCTGTTTTGTCAGACAGGGTGTGTGTTTGATTGCATGGAGCGGTATGTGTGTGTGTGCATGCAGGGAAGCCACCCCTCCTCCACATCTCTCTCTTATTCATCCATGATCTATTCATCACCCTGCAGGGGGTCCCTAGCTCCCGACAATCTCTGGAGGATAATCGGCCTCAGAAATCCCTGCCGCGCAAACAGTAGCTGCGTACAGCCGACAGCAGCCAGAGCTGGAAATGAGGAAATGATGATTTACATCTCCTCAGTGGAAAACAAAGGAAAAGAAGTGCGGTTCAGCACTGTGTTATCATTTTATATATATCTGGGTTCAGTCTCTTGAGGGTGCTGCTGTAATGCTCACAGAGTACACAGTATGAACTTACTCACACTCCTCTCATCCTCCAGACGTCTCTAGCTTCCTTCTAGCAACCACAACTCTGAATCATGCAACCACATGCTAAAACAAACACAATTCATCTTCTGTTCTGTGGTGTACGTATAGTGCCTGGTGGCGTATATTTGTGCTGTAGGAAAATGCTGGAACGGAGGGGTGCAACCAGACTTTTTCTCCCCCCACTTTCAGGTCATTATGGTAACCTCTACTACTGCGTGGCTGACAGAGGCTGTAGTGGGCTCAGATTTGAAACTAGAGTGAAGATAATGGTATCATGTGAAATGTGAAAAATCATGTCCTTGTTATGGAAAAGAAATACAATTTGGTCAAATGTTCAGCCCAGTCGATCAACATTTGGCAGCTTCAGCCCAAAAATACTAGTGCTGACCTTGTACATGGCAGCAGTTTTACTTGACTGAAAACACAAGTTAAACAGGCATGTTAATGCTGCTGTATTGTTGATGTCACTCTAATCAGCAAAAGATTCCTGACTACTAAAGACTAAAGAGCGTAAAACGTTGGCAGGTCCCAGTTCAGCCTGACATTTCAGAAAAACAGAATCGATTATCCTCCTCTTCTCCTTGAGTAGCACTTTAAATTCTCCCCTGCTATTCACAGCATATTTGGTCTCTAAAGAAATGCCCTGAGTTTAAAAGCTAAGGACTTTAAGAAAAACATCAAACCCTGTGTCATGGACATCTGATAGAAAAAAAATATCCTCTCATAAGAATAAAATATTCCTTTTGCATAAATTTCTGCTTGCGACTGCATGATTCATTAATAAGAAACAAAGCTTAAAGGCAAATATTTAATTGAACTGGTCCCAAAATTTCATTTGATGGAAACCACAGAATAAACTTAAATCATTTATTTCCTAAAATCAAATTAGCTATATCATATTCAATAAAAGTAGCCATTCTGAACTAGAAACATACTGTATATCAGATTTTGAGTTTTGAATTTAACTCTTCTCTGCCTCAGATTAATGCCTGTAGCCTACAATCTCAAATACATCTCTGTAAAAACTGTACAAGCCCAAGCAACGGCTCCTCCAGAGAGACAGAAGATATTATATAACAGGCTGATGCCAATGGAAAAAACTTCAGAAGAAGCAACTGCAAAATGGAAGGCGAAGCTCAACATCACATTATTAAAATACCAGAAAACAAGGGGTATTTGCAGTCACAATAACACTGGGATGTTTTGGACATGGTCTCTATTTCATTTTGTTTTCTATGTCAGCCCTTGACTGGTCTAGGGTGTTGTTCTATCACTCTTATCAGCAGAAGATTCAGACTCTCACCCTCTAAGGGTTGAGCGGCTATAGATAAAGGATGGATTTTTTATATCAGTGTATTCTAAGCTGCTCTGTTTGCAAGCTTAAAAGCAGTTCCAGGGTCTCTGTTTTGCTGCTGTTTCTGAAAAAAAGAAAAGAAAAGCAGCTGTTAACCTGCAGTGCTTCAGTCCAGGTGTGTTAAGAGAGGGTAATGGGAAAAGGCTTAATAACAGGTGGCAACACCATGTGAGTCAGACCTTTGAGTTTATTTCCTGTGATTTTCTGTTTCCTTAAAATATCCCTATACACTCCTTCTGTCCCAACAGGGGGTCTGGGGCTTCTTCTCTCAGCCATTTTGGAGGTCTACAGACTTGGCCTCTGAACTTGATTCATTTCTAACATGGTTGAAAGAAGTTGGATAGACATTTCTGTGTTGGGTTTTCACTGGGAAATGTATCTTGCACTGTAGCAGCTGCAGTAGGACACAGCTAGCTGTGGCTACTTGTGTGCACAACTTTTAGAGTGACATTAAGGAAAGAAATCTTTGGTATATTTGGTGTGCGTAGGAAGAGACCGGAGGGTCAGCACTAACGCCACACAAGTGTGGGTCTGTCTTGACATAAACCAATAATATACCTGTGAGACATCAGCAGACAGTAAAAACTGCAGAGTGACACCAAGAGATGCCAAAAGATGCTCAGAAGCACAAAAAGATGCAAGGAAACATGAAAAGACAAGAAACATCAAACAGAGACAACAGGAGATGCCAAAAGACACCATGAAAAAAAGAGACATTTAGACATTTAGAAGCGGTAAAAGATGCCAACAGATACTGAGAGATAAGAGATGTCAAAGAGACCCAAGGGTGCCCACAGACACGAAGAGACAACAACAGAGATGCCAAAAGACACCAAGAGATGCCAAAAGACGTCAAACAGTTGAGTGATACCCTTGCGAAGATCCTACAAGGGTGAACTGTTAGATTTGGGGTTTTGGACTATGTACAATTTGGGACTTTACTATCCACTTTTAAAAGCATAAAATCTGCTGCTGCTATCGCCACCTGTCAGTTGGAATGAGTGAGTAAAACCTGTGTCCCCACCTCAGGCTGGAAGACACAAGGGAGATGTTGATAAATCACACATGAAGTTATTATTATATGTCTCCATTCTAAGGCCAGATTCTAAATGCTTTGCTCAACAGAGACTGACGACTTTACCCTGGCCTTTGAATTTAAAAGAAAACCTGCTTTGCAGCACCAATCACCATGTGGAAGTCGTGTGCTTGTAAACACTGTTGTATAACAGAAATAGGTAGACAGCATTGACTTTGACATAAGTGGCGTACGTTTGTTAGCGTCTGTTCTCGTGCAAACTACTTTGCATTTAGAAATCCCCATGTGATTGGTCACTGAGATCTCTAATCGTCTGGTATTACGAGACTATTCTCAATCCTTCGAGGAAGTTGTGATGTTGTGATTACAACTATTTACAAAAATTCCCATGAATTTTGCAGGCACTGGAAGTTTTGTCTGATCAACGCAACTTTTTCTGCAAATTTGCCCATCAACTATTTTTGCAATTCTCCCGCAATTTATGCCTACAATGTCTCAACATGCATTGCAATGTTCTTTAGAAAAGCTGGAATGAAATCTGGTATTTTAGGCCGCAACAATCCCAAAAAAAGCCTGTGAAATCCTGGAAAAGATGCAAAGAAACACCAAAAGATGAGAGACATCAAAGAGAGACAACAGGAGATGCCAGAAGATGCTCAAGAAGCACTAAAAGATACCAAGAGAAGCCAAGAGATGTGAAAAGACATTTGGAGGCACTAAAGACTGCCAAGAGACAATTTCATTGCCAAAAAAATGAAATTAAAGGAATGATAAAACGTAGCAAAATGCATAATATATACAAGTGGTCCTGAGTCTGGTGGTGAGAGAGTTGTGTTTTCCAGTATAGGGGTTGTGATTTCCTAAAGGATTGGCGAGATAAATGAGGCGTCAAAAGAGAGTAAGAGATACACAAAACTGGTTTTGGTTCTTGGTCTCTTCAATATATTCAATCATAATCTTAGAAGAGAAAAATACTCTTTGAACTGCCTACATGACTACGGATGCAAATTAGCAGCTTTGCTATAATCCGGCATGTTCACAGAGATGTTTAAATATCGATGTTCATTAATGTGCACTGTCCCTATCCAAAAATAAAGCATTTATTATTATTATTATTATTATTATTATTATTATTATTATTATTACATCTCAGAAGCATGTGGAACCTGTGACAAGGAGTCCCAGGTATATATATATATTAGATAAACTGTCATGTGGGTGCTTACACTCAGAGCCTGATCAAACAGCTTCACTGAAAACACCACCCAGGGCCTCAAAGCAGCAGCACTGAGAATGCAGACGAATGAATCTGAACACAGATGTATGCAACCTTTGCCATCACTCCACCCAAAACTCACCTCTGTGCACAGGGAGCGTGGCTTGGTGCAGGGCGGGTCACAGGATCGGTCAGCCATCGGCTTGGCTGTCGCTGGGCATCCACCTGCAGGGCAAAAGTCCAAAAGGTGAAACTCGAGTGTCAGAGGTTAGCAACCGGTGTTTCTATCACTGCAAGATTTAAGATACAGTGTCAGACCTTTGCTTGAAGCCGATCAATAACAACAGTAGCAAAAAGTAAATCCATGAACAGTAACAATTGTGTCCCAGTTTTATAACTGCTTTAGTTTTCCAGTTAGCTGAGCTGGAGGCAGTGAGTGTTACAAGCAGCAGCAGCCGTCTCTGTTCCTGTCTCTCTGAAAACAACACTCACTGAAGCTCATTACAATTGCACTTACAATGGGTAGTGATGCTGGAATAATTTGATAATTAGTTTGCAAGGCATTAAAAATTCCACTCAAATCCTGAGACTGATTCAGACCCTTTTTAAATTCATCCTTTGGTAGACACTTTGCATGAAGGCTGAGAGCATACAGTAGAGTCATCCAGAAGAAATGTAATACCCATGGAAGAGTGTTCTGGGGATTTTTTTACTTTATGCAGTGATTTTGTCACTGACTGACCTAAAAATGGAAAGAAAGATCTTTTTGGTGTCCTCATATTGTTTCCCAGGACAGATTTTTGTTATTCATAACATCTGGAAAGAAAAACAATTTATGTTGTCAATGACAGTAACATGTAGTATGTTTAGGGTCAAATTGAAAACAAGCACAATTTCAGACATTTAGAAGGATTTCATTTCTAAAACAGAACATCATCATCATCATTATCATCATCATCAGAACATCAGTAACCATTCTTTATTCACAAATATACCAATAAAAAGTACATTTTAACATTGTATCAGGGATCGTTCTATGCTACTGTAAGTGCCATGTGTGGAAATATATATGCTAGACAGTCCCAAAAGATGTTAAAGGGCAGAAATTATACTATGGCCTAATGGCCAGAGCCATGGACACCCGACCATGTGGCCGTACTGCAACTTCTAAAATGATCTACCCCCACAGCCAGTTTGGCATTGCCCTGTTTTGAACTGGCCATTGTGCCCCTTAAAATAAAAGTTGTATATTTCCTAATTTAAAACTACATGAGACACAGCCAATTAAGTTGGGTTTCCCAGTGTCTGTGATCACGCTGGACATCAACAGTAGCGTGAGATTTTCCCACAGATATATTTGTAACCAGAGACATTCAGAAAGCTAACATTGTTAGCATTTTTGGTTTATAACAGAGGGGTAGTTATGTTAGTCAGCCGTAAAGTGTGCAGATAAGCTCAGGTTGCAGTGTAATAGTTACTGTGTGCTGTGTTGTGCCACAGAAAAGAAACAAAAAGTCCGTGTTTAAGAAACGTTACTACGCCAAAGTGGCCTTGTCCTAACAATGACTCACAAAACACTCCCAAAAAAATTCAAATCAGATTATAATACCAGAACAGAACCAAAAAAAATAAAAATAAATTTACACCAGGGATCTGAAACTGCCGGCCCGTGGGCCATTCCCAGCCCCCCATCCCTTTCCCTCGGGCCCACAAGATTATTATTGTTTTTTATTATTTTTTGTAGTTTGTTCTAGTTCATATACAATTAAAATAAAAAAAACCCTGTTGAAGTGGCCCCCGCACGAGATGACACCAGCAGTGGCCCTAAGCCAATTTGTGTTTGACCCCTGCTTTACACAATCCACTGTACGATCTACACTGGATTATAGAGTTATCCTGTATGCTCTTGCTGCTGCCACTACCCTTAACTATTGCACTGACCACTGCAAGACAAATCAAAGGGTCGAAAGCTGTTGATTCATAAATATTACATCTGACTTGCTGAGATATTTAACATTGTTGGTTGAGTTCAAACTGAACAACCATGACAGGGTAGGTCCACTTTAAAAATCCCTCAATTGGGTTTCCTAGCATGCAGTTTACTGATGGAATGAACTTCAAGACATATCTTTAGGGGGAGTTATATTGTCCTATCATTACTGTGGAATAAAGTGCCTGGAGGCAATGGCAAGAGCTTTCATTTCCACCATTCTGGAGTAAATCAATACAAGACAAATATACAAGAGGGTTACAGTAAAGGGGGATCTACACTTCCTTTAAATCTCATTCCACTCTTGACCATGAATTCACAATATAATTGAGTCACTTGGTAATCAGGTTCATCTGGGATTTTGAGTTGTAGACTATGTAGGGCAAGGAGTGTGTATTCCCACTGTGGATAAAATAAGCTGGATTACGTAGACAGACAGTGCAACTGACATTGATCCAACTAGCAGACATTCAGCGAAAACACATGTCTGCAAAAACATGGTAATCTATCAGAGCTTCTTGAATATTTATTAGGTGGCATGCTCGGGGAGAGAGCTCTGCATGAATATTCATGAGGGGAACGCCGCTGCTTGTGAGGAAACATTTACAAGAAGGGAAAAGATGCAGTGTGCCAATCAGAGCGGCCGCACATAGGCACACCATCTGGAGTAGTGGCTATACTGACATTCCTCATTCACTTAAACTAAGAGCCGACTGCTGTATGCCCACCTAATCCAGAAATACAACATGGCTGCAGGCCTGTATGGAGCAGGAGCTGTAAATAAAAGCAGATGCTCTCACTCATTCTTCCAGATAGCCCTTCCTTAAATGGTAAACCAGATGTGAAATGATAATTGTAGAACTGGGAAACAATGCTCTCAGCACTGAGCTTAACCCTTCCATGTGACTGACAGTGAGATTAATTTCCCACAGATTACAGACTAATCTGTTTACAGTTTCCTGGAACTCGCTGTCAAGAAATGCTTGGAAAGCTATCTGGGATTGTGACACTCTGGAGGAGACAGTTTTAAGTAACCTCTGCTACATTATCACCTTAAATCACATCCACGCTATCTGACTTGAATCAAGACTACCAACTGGTCTATGCTATAGGTATTCAAAATGTCAAGGGTCTGACATTTCATTGTGTTCAAAAACTGTCTAGTTCTTGAACTAACTGGATGTATTGAAAATCTTATAAAGCCAAAAGAAATGAATAAAGAATATGACGAAAATTTGAAATGGCATACCACCTAAAACACTAGTTTATACGCTATCCTGGTTTATAACACTATATCTCAGCATTTCAGATTGAAAAAACACGTGGCTATGCCCCACCATTCAAGACTGGCAAGATGGGATCTCATATAATCTTGTGAGTCCAGCTGCCTCGCAAGGTTAATCATAATAATAATAAGAATAATAATAAGAATAATAATCATCATCATCATCATCATCATCATCATCATCATAATATGCTTACCTGTGGTATTCAGTGCATCTGAGCGCTGACACCAGACTTGGCGAGATGAACCCCTCCATGGTCCAGTCCTCCACTTGTATTCAAAACACTGGCCATCTGCAGGGAGAGCACGGTCATCACCTAAAAGCTTTCATAACAATGTAGCTAATGCTGTAACAACTGTACTCCTATAATATGCCTCTGTCAATCACATTCACGTCATTTGGAGTTCGAGCTGGATTCTTCCGGACTGACCTGTACATGGCCGAGCTTCCAGCTCCTGTTCTGGACACTGCAACAGGTTTTCTGGATCCTGGGCCACCACAGCTCGGGATCGGACCTGAACTGAGCCGAAACCCAGGTCATCGCCGCTTACGCAGCTTAGCTGGCACGGACTCCAAACAGTCCAGTCTGTCAGGTAGCACTCTCCTACAGAACATACAGGGAATGCGCTGCATTTAAAGGAACCTAACAGTGTTTTTGCTAAAGCTAAAGCCAGTACATTTAGTGGGGCACAGTTAACGTTCTTTAACACCAGTTCCACCATTCTTTGCTGATGAATTAGCAGATCATAAAATTTGTGTTGGAATGTGGGAACCCTGATTTAAACTATGTCTGTGTGATGACCAGCATAAACAATAAAGGCATTCAAAGAAGATCTACTCACATTTTTTAGAACTTTCAACTGCATCTCACAGTCTTCGTCAGCAGGATGACAACTGAGCTATTTCCATGACAACTGAGCAAAGTGGATCCACTGGCGAAGACCATGTGATGTGGTTAAAAGCATAGGAAAAGATCAAATTGCTGGACTTTTAATGTAAGAAGCTCCCACTTGTCCCTTTGTTCAAAATAAATCAGGAAGTCATTATAGGACTGTATGCTGGAGAGCTACACAGCTTTTTCATGTCATGAGAGCATATTCACAATTATTACACTAATGGAAATTCACTATGATAAATGTATAGGAGATTATTTGATCGTGATGGCATCTCTAATTGTGAGGACTAGTACATTGATAAGCAACATCATTACAAACCAACCCTAATTCGAAAGTCGTCAAATAATGCCACTTGGTCAGGGGATCTCTGCTTCAAAATATGAAATTCTAGGTGAACCCTTTAGGGTCATTTCTGGACATGCCCACCATTGAAGTCAGGTGATGTAGTATAATGAGCAAGAAAGAGCAAGAAAAAAAGAGGCATGTGCACCAAAACACCTACGCTTAGATATTTTCCCACCAAAATCCCGATCCATTTTTCATTATTATCTGCCCAGAAGCGGGATCTCTCAGCGAAGAGAAGATTATTAAATAGGTCACACAGCTCCCGCACATTTCTACACATTCAATTAATCATGAAGCCACCCACCCAAAGAAAAAAATCAGGTAATTAAGAATAGTAGTGTATAATCACATTTACTGTGTCTCAATTCTATTAAAACAGGTTTCCATCAAAGTGAATGGTTTCGTTCTCCAATGTCAGAATGGACCTAAACAGGAACCTGATATGAAAGTCCTTTTTGACCTTGTGGTCCCCACTTAGCCAATTAATTTGATTATGTGCTGATTGTACCCATCTAAGCTGGAGTAATCAGTGTAAGTATACACAGTTTTCCTTTTTGCAGCAACTTGGTAGCAACTGAATGGCTTTCACTGACAACACCTGACTGCCACAAACTCCCATTATCAGCTCTGTAAAAGCTTCTTGCATTGTCCTCAGCCTCCCTCCATCCCACCTGTTAGCGCTAGTGTTGCACTGTGTGGGCACACTTTGGGAGCTCTTGAAGTCCCTACAATCAAACACACTCAACAGTAAGTGCTTTGACTGCCAGGTCTTTGTTGTTATTGTGAAATCCTGGACTAGGCTAGACTGAATGCTGTTGTATTCTGATGTTGTCTAATGTAGGGCGGCTGCGGCTCAGGAGGTAGAGCGGGTTGTCCAGTAATCAGAAGGTTGGCGGCTTGTCCAGTTGCATGTCGAAGTGTCCTTAAGCAACACTGAACCCCAAATTGGTTGTATGAATGTGAATGAATGAGTAAGTTTCTGTTTGTGCTGAGCATTACCCTCACTGTGTGAATGTGGCATGTAGTGTAAAAGCGCTATGAGTGGAGAATAGAATAGCACTATACAAGTACAGGTCCATTTACCAGTTGAATGCCTAACCAGTAGACAACATCACTGAGGAGGCTGATCAGGGTTCAACATTAATGCTCCTTTTCACTTGGCCGGTCAAGCAAGGTCAAAAATGTACTTGCCAATTTTTACTTGCTCCAATACAAATTGTTCCATTTATTAGTGGTTGTCAAATAACAACAAAGACCTTCTTGCAAGCCAGAGGCTGTCGGCTCTTGCTATGGCAATCCAGCCACGTTTTTTTGGAAACTGAACAGCCTTGCTCTCAAACTTGTGACGCATTGCTGGCATGTGTTCCAGCTCACAGACTTTGTGTTTTCCCTTCGCCATTTTCAAGAGCTCATTTGATACTGTGTGTGTTCAACGCTCAACAGCTACTGCCATCATCAGCTCCAGAGAAAACAAAGTGATTGATTGGGCAAGTGAGTTTCAAAATGTACTAGCCCAAAGTGGTGTTTTACTTCATTGTTACTGATAGGAACGACGGCCAAAACCACACAAGACCTAAATTGTAAAAAGTTGTAAGTTTGGTGTGAGGACAGTTGCAGGGGTCATACATGTAAACTTTATTTCGCCTGCAATGTCACTACTCCCAGACCGCCTTCTCTCACTGTTGGTGCCTGTATTGTCTTCTTACCTGGACAGGGTACAGTACAGGGCTCCTGCAGAACGATGTGTGTGTCTCCGTCCACAGAGGGTTCCAGATCTCCACACAGCTCATCATCCACCAGGCTGCTGTCCTGCTGACCTGAACCATCCGACACGAAGCACGAAACATTCCTGAAGCGCAGGCCTTCTCCACACCTTGCCCCCTGACAGAACAGAAAACAAATATATGTAGGGGTCAGTCACACTTTCATATTTAGGCTATATTAAACTCATGCAACAGATGCTATCCTAAAAAGCTAGCTGACTGACATGAAAGGATTTTAGGCTTTTTTTCTTGGTTCTGTGTGATTGATTTTTGGTCAGGAAAAAACAGCAATGAGGGCAGCTCATGTTCGCGGTGAAAAAACAAAGCAAAAAAACTTTTCTCAAAAGTCCAGCAACATGTCTAGTAAAAAGATGCTTCAGGCAAAGATTAGCAGTGTTAAGGGTGGAGAACAGGAAGAACAACAGGACAAACCAGTGAGAGATCAGGGAGAGAAAAGATGGAGTTAAAGGAGAAGAGAGAAAAATTAAAAGGGATGGGGGATGTCATCATCTTTGCTGAATCACTTTGTGATTTTTTGGGGGGATTTTAATGATAATCTTTCCTCCAGCACCTCTCTCATCACATTTTCCCCCCTAAACTTGGTAAAGCTCTATGTGGGTTCAAGAGAAAACACAATGACTGCATCACACACTCAGGTTACCCACAAACCCACCTTTCTTAAAAAGTAAGGATCAGATGGTGATACAAAGTGCAGTTAGGGTGGAGGAAGTATTCAAGTCCAAGAAGTAAAAGTACTTATACCAACCCCAGTGTGAAAATACTGTATTCTTAAAAAAATATATTTTAAAGTATTAAAGCAGAATTTACCTAAAGGAATAACTGTGCCGTACAATGTTCCCTGTCAGTGTTTTACTACTATATATGATGTTTTTGAATTAATATCACTGCTGCATTAATGTTGCATTTTACTGCTGTATTGAGATTGAGCTATTTTTTATATTCTGTTGGGAAGTTTTGGCCCATTTTGTCAGAAATGCTCCAATAAATTTGGATTTATCAAAGGTCATGTGTATCAAAGTGACCTTGCCCTAAAAAAGTGACATAATAATATTTTACTCTCTTTTATAAATACGAACTGAAAATTAGTTGAAAAAGCTAAATAATAAAATTTCTCTGGCATCTGCGCAGCCTTGTTTATTCACTGTCTCCATGGAAACGACGATGAATGCAGCCATAAAGATTTCCTTGTGCAAAAAAAAATAGGAGTGTAGGAGTGTGCGTTCAGTCGCACACCATACCTTACCTTGCTTTCAAACAACATCAAGATCACTCTGGCCTGTGCCCTCTCTCACAGTGGCTAATCATTTTGGCTGCTTTTATATTTTAGAAAAAACAATAGGGGCAATAGTCTGGAAACATAAACATTTTTCCATTCTCTCTTTTCTTTTTTCCATACATATCCAGACCTGGAAATTACAAAATAGATTCCACACTTTCTTCCATACTGTGTAGAAATCCTGTGTATATACTAGGGTTGTAAAAATCTAGCTGGGTCCGCTGATCTGTATGAGATATTAAAAATGAACACAAATATTAAAATTTTTTGGACTTCCTGTTTGTAATGAGATAAAGCTGTAGTAGGTAACTTTTATAAAAATAACCATTTGTCATATTTGTAGTACATGAGAAAACACCAAAAAACCAAAACAACTAATCAGTGGTGAGAAAGATAGTTGATTGTTGAGTCTCATTCCTAGTGTTGATATTTGGCGCCCTGGGAATGAGACTCAAAAATCAACTATCTTTCTCACCACTGATTGGTTGTTTTCATTCAGGCCTGATAGATTCTTAAAATACCATTAAGAGCACTAGGAGGAGCCAGAGGAACCTGATTGTTTCACAGATTATCTGTCTCATGTACTACTGTCAGGATATAGAGTTTCAGCAAATATGAAAATAAAAATAAAAAATACCTACTGCAGCTTCAAAGGTGCTGTAAGTAAAATCACATTCCCCTGCCTCCTCCCCACCTCCTCCTGCCTTTAAAAATGGCCTCTATGTGGAGTTCTTTCTCCTGATTGGATAAAGTGAGGATACCTGAAAATGTATTTCTGTTTACTGCAGAAAGGAGGGACTGGGAGACCCAAATTACTGACTGATCACTCCAGATCAGGAGTATGTTTTTATTTTATTTTTAGGGTAACACTAGAATTAAATCAATAATTTATTATTTTTTTAATTTATGCTAAATTAAGCACTGACCGGAGAGCACTTTAAATTTCGTTGTACCTGTGACAATGACAATAAAGATCCATTCTATTCTATTCTTATTCTATGTCCCATAGAAATGAAAAAAACAAAACAAAATACATTGACTGCACAAGTTTTGAACAGGATTGTCTAATTTTTTAACAAACATTACTGGTGATTAAACAAAAAATATAACTGTCCCATTATTGTAGTAAAGCTGCTCAGACAATATTGGCAAAACCTGATGCAGTGTTTTCACAGATGGCAGGATGGAGACTGACCTCAGATTTGCACTCAGACCAGGCGCTGTATCTCCAGCTGTAGCAGGGCTTCACCAGGCAGGGCTTCCACTGCTCCATCTGGGACGGACAAGGCCTCCCGTCACCTTGGGGAGCCTGGATCACTGTCCGCCTCCTCCACAGCTTGCCTACAGAGAACCAGATATAAAGAAAAAATGTCATTGTTTATTCATGAGGACGTTGACCAGAATGCTGAAATCTGACCTGTCCATAGCGTAAGCCTGGTTAAGCTCAGACAGTCGGGTCAGAGCAGCTGGAAGAGTGTGGACGTGTAAAGGGGTTTGGAATACTATACTGTCAAGGTGACCTTTGGGCCTTTCACCACTGGAATTGGTATTCAGTGAAGTAAGGAAGGGTTAAATCACTCAAGATGACATGGATAATTCAGCATAATCAAAATTTCCATAGCACTAACACAATGTGAACCTATTGTGATGTCACCCATTAGTAGAGTTCAACTCCATAGCAGGAAACATTGACTGGTTACACATATTCTCATATTACAGCCTTGCAGCGTTATTAAAGGAACCGCACTAAGCTGGTTTAAGTCGTATTTATCAGATCGTTCTCAGTTTGTACATGTTAACGATGATTCTTCAATAAATACTACAGTTAGTCATGGAGTTCCACAAGGTTCTGTACTTGGACCAATACTATTTACTATGTATATGCTCCCTTTAGGCAACATTATTAGAAATCACTCCATTAACTTTCACTGTTATGCAGATGATACGCAGTTATATCTATCGATCAAGCCCGATGAAATTAATCAATTAATTTAATTGAATTGAAGCAGGAAATAAAAAAAAAGGACAGCTATTGACACTTAAAATTGTTATTAAAACACACCAACCAAACAAAACAAGTAAAGTACCGAAAAAAAGGAAATTAAATTGCTTTGTTAATGCCCACCACTGACATCCGTACATCCATGGAGCACCCGCAGCGTGGAGATCCTCCTATCATTCTGCCTTGCATTACTTTACAAAAAAAAGCCGACTCCAATCGTTCACTTAAAAGACGTGACTGACAATTCACTAGTCAGTTCCCTCATCGATTGTTACAGATTCAGCTGTATTGCTCTGCTGTAAATGTTGTCTACGGGTTTTGCTCAATTAGATTGCATCGTAACATTGACTTCCACTGTAATGGCTCCTGATTTGGTTCTTTCTACTCTAAATCTGGCTGAATTTCTTAAGTATTTTCCAAGGAATAAAAGCTGACTTTCCCTTTCCTTTTCATCTATCTCAGTGTAATAATTCAACGCATTCTATCCCCTCTCAGTTAACTTAATTTATGGTGCAATTTTGGGGCTTCATCATACTCCCTGTAGCCATTTTGAATATTCATACGTCTTTGTTGTGTTAAAATTGAAAAAGCGACTGTCTCAGGTTGGAGGATATGAGTGGGGAAGGGGGAAAGGAGTACCCTTTACCAAATTCACTTTAAATTCCATTTTAACAATGAGCCCCAGGGGAGGGATGTGAGAAAACTCTCAATTATCTGCTGTCTCAAAGGAAATGCATGTGGTATTTGCCCAACGTTCCATCTAAAACAAATACTACATTCAGCAACAATGGGACACAAAATAAAAAAGGTTTAAAAATCAAAAAAAAATCACAGAACTTTGTATATTTAAAAGTACATTCTGTGAAGCTTTTCAGCATCAATTCTCATGCAAAATGCAAAAAAACTGTAACAATGATTGTCAAATTGTTTGTGGATGTACCTTGAAAAGGTAATTCTCAGAGCTTCATGTCTTTGCAGAGAGATCATGAACTCTCATTCTTCAAATATGTATAGGACTTATTGGTACAATCTCCAGTGTTGTTATTACCAAGCCCTGTAAAACTCTGCTCATGTTGAACACTATCAGGAACAGGTCCCTGGGTGAGGTTTTCCCAGCAGCGGGTCTTACCAGCTGCCAGCAAACCAACTAATCTGCATGAACCATAGAGTGGCACATATGAGTTGGTCGCATTCACTCATTTTAATGCATTCCAAACAAACAACATGTAGTGGCTCAGGCCTGTCGTACTACTCCTGTACAATGTGTCAACATTTCTCCAAATAGGTAAAAACATTCAACGCCATCAACAAATAGTTCAACATCTGGGGAAATGCACATATTCACCTTCTTGCTGGAAATTGTTATCAACCTGTAACTAAGTATGGAGCTAGTGCGAGGAGGTAATTAGCTTAGCATAAAGACTGTAGGTAGGGGTAAACAGCTCTGGCTCTGTCCAAGTTTGACTATACACATACCAACACCTCCAAACTTCAGGGGCGGCTGTGGCACAGAGGCAGAGCAGGTCATCTGCTAATCGGAAGGTTGGCGCTTTGATCCCTGGCTCCTCTTGCTGCATGTCGAAGTATCCTTGAGCAAGACACTGAACCCCAAATTGCTCCCGATACTGTGCATCGGTGTGTAAATGAGTTAGTTTCCGTTTGATGGGCTTTGCCATCACTGAGTGAATGCGTGTGAAAGGGTAAATGTGGCATGTAGTGTTCATTCAATTCATATGTTACTCCATGTGTAGCATGCAAGCTATGCTTTTGTTATACAAACTTGTGTTGTATAATGATAAATACATTTCCTTGATTCCTTTCACATTACACACTGCCATTATATCCAAATTTTGACTTAAAGTTATTTTCAACTGCAGCTCAAAATAACAGAGTGAGGTGAACACATTAATAACAGACTGTAAAGTGAATCTAGGCTCCAGATTCCTAATCAAGGTTCACCAGCATCATGTCTGGGTGCTGCTTTGTTCACTGGTTGCTTTGCAGAAGATACTAGAGCCTTATGCCCACAGAAACCAAACAGTCATCACCCTCCATTACAACTCTTGCGCTCCAGTGGTCTCCCTGCACGGGGCCATGCCAGTGTTTGGGGTTGAGCGGCGGGTGGCAGCAAGGACTGCTGAGCAAAAGAAGGCCTGTGCCAGCTGTCACTATCAGTGTTTGGCTGGAGAACACACAATGCCGCGATTATCTATGCACACAGGTTGGACACATCGGGGAAAATAGCTGTGTTTTTTTTACACCGCCTGATTGATAACAGCACCTTGCTGCTTCCAGGTATGTTCATTTGCTTGAAATAACAAATCCAGCTCATTGCTATTCCTGGCTCAGGAACAGAAATTAGCTCCTCCAGGGAAGCATGTCCTCACAGCCAACCTGGAGATGAAAAAGAAACACAGGAAGGAAAGTGAGGAGGCCCTCTCTTCCTGTGGCCTACCTGCTGTTCCTCCATACAAGGAAAGAAATCCTTCTCGCCTGGGGACAGATTAAGGCTACCACAATAGCTAAAGCCTGTATTGGTTTCATATCTACTATTTGCTCTTGTTGCCTCTGGCTGAAGCTCTTCTCAAGGACTTGTGGAGAGCAGAGTGCTCCCTGAGCCCCAGAGCACACACTCATAATGGACCACCAATCAATGACCTGATCCTATGGAATTACATGCAAGGACATTATTATCCCTCTCTCAGTTGGTTTAGGGCTATAACACCCTTGTTTCTCACATCATAAAGCGTTTCTGGTTTCCATCATTACCGTATGAGAGGCTGAATTTAGATCACCCACAGCAATGGTCAGGGGTTAGGGGTAGAGTTAGCATGGATCTTGAGAAGTTAACCTTGTTTCTCAAGTAATCTGTATCAGATCACATTAAACAATTTACTGTCGTGTGTGAATAATTTACTGCTTCTTGTGTTTTTATGGATACAGCTAAGGAAGGCTAGGAAGCTAAAAAGGCCAAAGGATTCTCTCCAAGACTGAAGCCAGTTAAATGAGTAGGACAAAAAAAAATGTTTTAACTATCCTTAGCAGTGTTTATTTTTAGATTTAGGAGTAGTAGTAAATCATGGCTATACTAATATTGTATTGTTTCCAAGGCAAATATTGACCCTTGAACCTCACTGACTTGCATGGTGCAATGGGCTACTGTAGAAACATGGCGGTTCAGCAGGAGGACCCTCTCCCTCTGTAGATAAAATCAGCTCATTCTAAGTTAACAGAAACACAATGATTCCTATATTCAGCTGATAATACACTAATGAAAACATAGCTATGAATATTATATTCCATTTCTGACAATAGATCATGCTAAATGTTACACACTGGACCTTTAAGAAGAACCAGAGAAGATATCACTAAAAGCGACTATTCTATGGTAAGTGGGCAAGCTCCATCTGCTGAGGAAGATCATGTGATATGATTGAATGCTCCAAAACAGCTGTTAAATGGACCTTGTGGTGATATTGATTTCTCAACTAAGGTATTTCATTTCTGAAACCCAAACAGCAGCCAGCAGCTTGATCCTACTCATTGATTAAAGATTACAGTTACTGCAGTATGGGAACATCTTAGAGGGGGAATGATTTTACATGTAAAGACCAGTTTACTAATTATAGGGAATACTACTCAGACTGTGAAAACAATGCAGTGTCCTGTGTGGCAAGTCTGAGAAAATAATTGTAATAATGTCATTAGGGTTTTTGTAGCTCAAGTGTGGAGTTGAATATAGTAGTATATCCATGTAATATGTCCCTTAGTTTAATCAGTGATCGATAAAGGGTCCCTTGAGGAAAAAGGTTTGAAACCACTGCTGTAGACCACACCAGACAATGATCAGGTGTTGCATATGTGTAATGTTCCCACAAAACACAAGAGATGTAAGCATGAAGTCTTATAAAATGGCAAGTAACTTATTCATTTATCCAATAGTTTGGAGTAATGTCGCCCCGGAATCATGGACCTGCACCAGAGCAAACCAGTAGAGCTGACTGCTATGCTACACTGTGAGGGTGAGCATTAGCCAAGATTGTGCTATAACAGGACTTCATCAAGAAAAATAAATAGGATCTTTATAAAGATAATAAAGACAAATAAGGCAGAATGGGCTGCAACAAAGTGGAGGAAGCTGATATATTAATGGTAGTTCTGATCAGAGAATGAATCAGCTGGATTTGTCTAGGTTCACACCGAATCAAATCCCCCTGTGGTTGCTGATATTCAGTCTCTGATTTGTTCATATTTAACAGGGGGTGGCCCAATGAGAGGGTTAGGATTATGTAACCCAGACGGGTCTTGAGGTGTATTTTCAGCAGCACAGACGCTACTGATCGATCATAGAAATATTATAGGAATAGTAAAGGCAGCAGTTTGTCTCTATGATCCACAACTCCATGTTGCTACTTGTGACTTTGATCTTGAAGATGGAACTACTCTATATAGTATATAGGCTTGAGAACTAAGTATTTATAGTGTATAGATTAGAGAATATCATAGATGCAAGACGAAGCTGACAGAAGGTAGGGACTGAGAGAAATTACAACTCTGTCTGCTACTTCAGAACCAAGGACAGCGCCATGGATTTATCAATACACAGCACAGTTACTGATATTTCAGAGCCATGGTCGAGAGAATAGATTCTAACGTGCACACACTTCAGTCACATGAAGGATCAATAAGTCAGGCACACTAGACATATTGAACTAAACAACCTCTCTGCCCCTGCACTCTCTGCTACTAGGGGATACAGAAGGGGGTGGCAGCCCTCTTTATCCCCCCTAAAACCTCCTACTGCTCATAATGAACCCACATCTTCAGGGGGATGCAGCAGTTAGACTTCAGCCTCAACATGACCAAGAACTGGGTTCTTTGGCATAGATAGATAGAATTACACACACATACCTGCCAGCCCACAGGCATGGGTGCAGTCCGACCATGGGGACCAATCAGACAGCTGGCAGTTGACGGGACATTCCACGACACAGGAAGCATTCATCTGCCACTTCCTCTCCAGGCCCAGCTGCAAGAGGAAACAGGGTTTTGTTTACCTGGTCTTTCTCAAAAAAAAAAAAAAACAGTGGCTTTAACAGAAATGGCTACACAACCCACCTCTTTACAGAATCTCAGGTCAACGGATTTGCCGTCGCTACGTACGCAGTCCAGCATGCGGGTTTTGATGCCATTTCCACACACCGCTCTGTCACTGAGCTGACAGGTACTCCAGTCTGCAGGGAGACGTCTCATCAGCAAGAACAACTCATACAGCCACCAACATAAAAAGAGCTGGAGCTTTTACAGTCACTAGAAGTGCATTTATTCCTGTTTGTAAAGGTTTGTAGGTAGAGTGTCAGGCTACCGCTACATAGCAGGCCCCAGTCTGCAGAGTGGAGACATTGGTTTTATAGAAGCAGGGGTTGGTTGGTCACAAAAGCTGCCACCACACACATCACCTACCTCCAGATCAACCAGTAGCAAAATTCAATTGTAATATCCAGGATTTGACCAAGGTAGCGGTCACTATGCATTATTAAGAATAAGTACCATCTTATCTTATTACAGCAAAATATGTAGAATTCAAATGTGGTTTTGGGGTTGAGTTACTCTAATGGAATCCAGCTCAAAAGCATGACTTTGTCTTTTACTGTAATTCTGCTGCCTCTGCATGTAGCTGAGGCTCTGTTTGAGTCTCACCGGTGATGTTGTAGGAGTAGTGGAAGCAGTTGCTGTTAAGTTTGCAGGGCTCTGTTTCTTTAGTCGAAGGACAACCCTTCTCCTCTCCAGGCTGACGGAGCGGGTAAGCACTCCTCTCCCGAGTACTATTCCCGTTGCATGGCTGAGGAGCAGAAGAAAGGATCATGACTTATTCATCCATACTGTTAGAGTGTGTGCACACATGACAAACAAATAACCTTTGTTGATGTCCTTATCTCCTGTAACAAACACCTTTCATTACATTTCCCATTTCATATTTAAAGGCAATGTTTGTCTCCTCATGCCGCTGCAGTTACTATGAAGGTAATGTTTATAATGCATAATAAGGCTTTATAAAACTCTTTATAAATGTTTATAATCCGGTATGACAACCTATAACAAGGTTTATCAAGTATTATAAGTTTAGCAATTCTAACACAGCACATTATAACTATCATAACTTTAGTCTGTTATAAAGACGCATCGAGAACTGTATAACATATAACAGATTATAAATTCGGTAACACTTTATATTAAAAAGGTACACATATTCACCATTAACTAGTTGCTCATTATGCATTTTGGCTCTTTATTAGTCATTAGAAAGCACATATTTATGCCTTATTCTGCATGACTGTATTCTACAACTACTACAAGCGTTTTCCCATAACAACCTCTTGTAGAGGAGTAGTACAGTAACAGAAAAGGTAATGAGTCATTCTTACCAGTAGACATGGGCTCCAGGCTCCCCAGTCTGACAACACACAGTCCTCGGGGCAGGGCAGCCGGCTGTTGCGCGCCCCCAGAAGCATCTCCTCCGGATCACACAGGTAGTCCTCCACCTGCTCGGAGGGCCCGTCTATAGTGTTCAGCATACATCTGGATACAAAGGGGGTTCAAGTTAGTTTTACCCCATCATCTGTGAAAGGCATTACCTCATCTTTATTCATTTCAACCACTCATCAGCAGGAATAGTTAAAACACTGACAATCCATTTTTGAAAAGATTATTTCTGGATGTAATCAACCTTTATCCTGGAAAAGAGATAAGTCATTACTATGTTAAATACATGTCTCTAAAGCCCCTTTCAGACATGCACATGCCCCTGAGATGACCAGCCAGTCTTCCCTCGTGTATGGGTGTCCTATCTTCAAAAACATCAAGTAAGCACTATTTTTATAAATTGACCAGATAATGTATGGATTGTTGTCTGGTTGTTAACCTTGTAAGGCAGCTGGACTCTAGAGATTACAAAATTATGTGAGAATGCATCTTTCCAGGATTCAATCTATGTGTTTGTTGCTGGTACAGCAGCACCGAACTAAACAGCATCATTTCAGTACTGGCAGCAATGGGGGTCAGCACTATGTAGCGTAGATGCTGCTAGCATCAATTCTATCAGAACTGGAGAGTGTTTCTTCATTGAAAGAAGAGCAAAGAATGGCACTGAAGGCTTTTCTCCATGGAAAATATGTTTTCACTGTTCTCCTGAGAGTTTGACTATGTTATATGGTTTGTTGATCTGATTGGTTTTTTAAAGTGCCTGCACTTTTCTAAACAGCTTTCCAGGTGGTTCTGTGAAACAAACCAGCTGTTTGATGCCAAGTGCATGCTGGGTCAGTTCATCCTTTCTGAGCTTTATTGGCTAAATGCAGACCTTCAATTGGAAGTTGTGCGAGTGATGACATTGCAAAAGTCAATGAGTACAGACAAGAATGCAGACTGAGAAAGGCCTAGGGTCTGGTTGCCTCGACATGGTTTGGCTTATCTTACCTGACTTTCCTGGTCTGAACACCTTCACCACAGTTATCCTTCAGGTCCACATTGCTGACCTTCCACACACTCCAGGGCTCTGCCACCCAGACATACTGCCCACAGTCACTGAGGCATGGCACCACCTCGTACACCTGACACACACAAACACCACTTTCTGCTGTTGTACAGGAAATGTGTATGTAATGTGTTTGCAGTAGGTCATTTTTAAAAGAAAAATTTTTGTCACATTCGCTGAAACTTTCAATATATCCTGACAGTAGTACATTCACAGATAATCTGTGAAAAAATCAGGCCTGAACAAAAACAACCAATCAGAGCCAAGAAAGATAGTTGAGTTCAGTGAGAAACAATGATCAACTACTTTCAAACTTCCAACCCAGAGCATCTTCATATCTTTCTCAGCTCTGATTGGTTGTTTTTGTTCAGGCCCAATGGATTCTTGCAAATATTCTTGCATTAGGAGCACTAGAACAACCCAGAGGAACAAGTCTCATGTAAGATTTGTTTATAAAAATGACCTACTGCAGCTTTAACAATTATGAATTACATTGGAATCCAATCTAAATTAGAGTGTTATTTATCAGATTTTTCCTGTAACAATTTGACTAAAAGCAAGAAAAACACAATTCAGTCCCTCCAGAAAAATGCGATTATGCGATCGCATAATTCAATGCATAATCAGCCAAAGTCCGCACATTTATGCGGGGGCCGCATTTTTTCAAATACGCCGCACTTTTGCCGCATAAATTGCCGATTTCCGCGCAAAATATGCAGGGCTTGGATGATTTCATAATCCCCGCATTTTCGTTGCAAAAAAGTCACATATATCTTTGCAGAAAGTTGAAAAATGTTGCATTTACTTCACTCAAGAGCAGCCATTTTCCCCTGTTGCCATGGGAACGTTATGAAGTGACATAATTACGCGACGTGAACATCATCGAAAAGCTGCAAACCCCGCGATGAAAACCATACAGTTGTAAGTATATTAGTAGTATGTAAATTTACGTTACCGTAAGAGATTGCACTTTGTGCATTGGAAGCACTTATTTTAACAGAAGATGTCTGTTTTATATAGCTACCTCTGGAAAACAGGAAGCACACATTTTATGTTTTTATATTTTATTTATTCATTTTTAGTTGTCGCATATTCCTTTTGTAAAGCTACAGAACTTGTTTGACTCATCAATGTAAGTAAGTTTGAGCCATGTGTTTATTAAGGTCTGAAATAAAACAAGATGAGAACTTAAATATTCCCAGCACTTTCTGTGATGTAGTATGCTTGTTTATCATAGGAAGTAATAAGAAATGACTCTTTACATTACGGTAGTAGCCTAGTGAGAACAGGGTGTTGGGGGAATCACTTTTTTTTCTCTTTATCATCAAACCGCAGTTTTTGCAAGTTCTCGCAATTTTTGCAAGTTCCCGCATATTCCATTGCATTTTTTAAGAAAACGTGCCGCATAATCAAGGATTTTTGCCCGCAACAATCACAAAAAAACTCTGCATTTTTCTGGAAGGACTGACAATTTCTGAAATAGTAAAGTCTAAGTTCTGAAACAATTACTACAGAATGAGGTAAAAACAGTGTACTCACCTGAGCCTGTGGATGGAATCCATTCATCAGAAGAGGAAGGAGTAACAGAAAAAAGTCAATCAGATTATTGTACTTGTAAATATGGATTCAAAGTAAGAGTAAAAGTAACCTTCCTCTCATCTTGCACACCACAAAGACAAGCACCAAATTGTCACCTGTTATTGAAACATTAACACATTTTAAAGTGAGACCTCTCTCACCTGGTTGACATGGTCCAGTTTAGGACATGGTCTGCCGCCATTGTAGGGTTTTTCTCTGAGCCACTTGGAGCGAACTTTGACCCCACTGCCGCAGGACTTGCTGCAGCGAGACCAGTTGGACCACTCGCTCAGTTTGCAGTCAGACGGACAGGGGATGATGCAAGCCTCCTCTATGTACCCTGTAACCAAACACATAAAGGCAGACAAGCTTCAGTACAGAGCCATGATCCAGTGACTGGAGCAGTAAAAGGAAGCACTGTTTGTATACTTCTGTTGGAACAGAAATGTTTTGATATTTGGTAAGGATGAACAACTGGTTTTATTCTTTCTGTGCAGAAAATGGACTCATCAAACATTTAACTCAAAGCTATACTTCAGCATTTTGGAAAACATGCTTATAAAGGGATCCAACTCTTTTTAAGAACGTTCAAATTTTCCTGGACAGCACTTGCTCACAAACAGTCCTATAAAGTACCAGTAATAATAATAATAATAATAATAATACATTTTATTTGTAAAGCACTTTTCATAAAAGAATCTCAAAGTGCTACAGAAACCAAGAAAAATACAAAATAACAAAAAACACTGAGGGCAATAACACATTAAAATCAGCAACCAATAATAATACAAGTGATAAAATACATCTTCATTTTACAGCTAAAAGAGGAGTTGAAGTGCATAGTGAAATTAGAAAAATCTAAGGACAACTTAAGAACGCCTGCCTGAACAAAAAAGTTTTAAGCCCTTTTTTAAAAGTGTCCACAGACAGGTTCAGGGAGGGAGTTCCAGATGTGAGGGGCAGCGGAGCAGAAGGCTCAGTCTCCCATGGTGCGAAGTCTTGAGCGGGGCTGATGGAGGAGGTTTATGCTTTGGGACCAGAGGTTACGGGTGGATGAGTGACGGGTAAGGAGGTCTTTGAGGTATTGCGGGGCGTTGCTGTAGATGCAAAGGTGGGTGATGAGGGCGATCTTGTATTGAATTCTTGAGGTTATGGGGAGCCAGTGGAGGTTCTGAAGAATGGGGGTGATGTGGTCGTATTTGCGGGTTTTCATCAGAGTTCGGGCAGCACAGTTCTGAATGAATGAAGTTTCTGAAGGTGTTTATTGGGTATACCGATGAGCAGGCTGTTACAGTAATCAAGCCTGGAGGAGATTAAGGCGTGGATGAGTTTTTCTGTGTCAGAGAAAGTGAGGAAGGGGTGGAGTTTTGAAATGTTCTTGATATGGAAAAAGCAGGTTTTGTACAGATGTTGTTGTTTTATTCCTCAGATTTTAATGAGGAAGTGTCTCAGGTTCATTACAAGTTTAAGTGTAAGGCCTCAAAGCTACCATTTCTTGAGTTTAAAACAAAATATGGTGATGTGAGTGAGGGGCTAAAATGCAATAAACATTTTTCAGGGCAATGGATGAAACATTTAATCTTGATATAAGTAATAAGAACATCATGATTAACTGCATCAAATACTTTACGCAAATTGCCTATCCAGTCTAGATTGGAGACGGACCTCTGCTCAATGGTTCCACTGGTTTACAAATCATGGCCTGTTTAACTGGCTGGCCCGTGTGGTGATACTGCTGATTTTCCATGGCATGATGAAGGCAAATGATCAGCATTGATTGTAGGGATTAGCGAGTAAACCATTATCTGTATCTGTATCTGTTCAACTAATTAAATCATCTGTATCTGTATCTGGAATAGGCGGGTTGAACCAGGCATGGGAATTGGGTAACTGGAATTTGTTAGTTTAAGCCTCAGATTGATATGGGTTAATCAGAACTTGCTATTATTATTAGAAAACTATTTGCAGAATTGAGAATTGCTGTGGACAAGCAGACGCACACAGGTACTGCAACAATGAGTAGCAGCAATTGTGTGAAAAGCACACAGTGAAACTCAGAAAACAGACATTAAACAAAAATGACCGGCACTGTATGCCACCTGTTAGAGCTCCCACAAGACAAGATCAGCCACAAGACATGTACAATTTTCAGGAATAAGATATATTAATGATTATCACAACCTACCCACAAATATAATATGTGTGTCCATAAAACAAGCTTTAATTGAAAGATTGTCCAAGGGAAATCAGGGAAAGGTCGAGGGAAGAAATCACACCAGAAAACACACCAGAACAGTGAATTAATAAGTAACTATGGGATATCAAATTGCAGTGTTGCAGCATCTGAGGTAGGATTTTTGACAATATCTTGACTACATATTGATCTGACCTGTTGTGAGGAGATGTAAGGGAGATGGAATCCTCAATTTGATCCTCTGACTTTCTCATCAAAAACAGAACACTAAGCGAAACCCCCAGCCTGGATGCCAATCAGAAACTTTCCTCAGGCATGAAAGCATTCTTGCTGTTACACACTGGTGCTGACTCCAGATTCACCCATGCGGTCCTTTCCCTGACTCCTTCCACAAACGAACCTAGCATCCCTGATATCCAGCTGTAGTCGGAGGGCAAATATCAACAGGAAGGAGCAAGCAATTACCATGTTACTCCCACAATACTACCGGCAGAAGAGAGCCAATCAAACACCAAGAGAAAGAAGCAGAAGTACAAACTCTTAGTCCAACATTTTTTTTAAAGTTACAGTCATCAAGCAGCTCCTACTGTGAGCAAAGCTTTGAGTCATGACGAGACGGGTTCCTCAGTGAGCAAACAGACACACTCATTCCCCAGAGTGCTTTGATGTGTTCTGTATTTTCCCTAGGCTAAGATGCAGAATACGACAGCACTTTGATTCGTGATTCCCTTTTCTCCCTTTACTGGCATATAGTGCTGAATGTTAATACAGCTCACCGCAAAGCGGCCTGATAGATTTGGGCTTCTGGCAGCAAATACAACCCCAAGTTCCCCTGATAGATTGCCCAATTCACACTGGAGGTTTGATGAAAGGACAACTGAACCTGAGCTGTGTCAAATGTGATCAGTCTAAAGAGGGCGATTGATCTTAAATATTTGAACAGGATTGCATGTTGAAGAACAGTTGTTGTCTACTTTACCTATCTCAGTGAGTTACATTAAAAGTTGGTTCCTACAGCACAACTACAAATAGGATCACGATGGAGACAATTGGTAGTCTCCAGCTATGTGCCATTTCAGGGTCTGTCTCGTTTGTCCAAATTTTAATTTGAGTTACATCCAATACATTTTCATACCCACGGCAAAAGACGTTGTTTGTCAGTGCCTTCCAAAAGAGCCACACAAAATAAAAGATTGTTTACATGCACTAGTATCCTGGTTGTCTTAACTCTACTACCAAACAGCCCCCAACCCTCACTGAGATGGCTCAGGTCACTGTTTTTCAACTGCATTTAACCCATACACACTAAAACACAAAGCAAGAAGCTTTAAGATTTACACTCTAGTCTGGACGGATGGCTGAAATGGAGAGAATTTAACTGGCTTAGTGTGGATGTACTTTGTAACTTTTGTGACCACATTTCTGAAATGCAGATTTTTTTCTTTCTGAAATTTAAAGATTTATGTTTTTTTTTAAAAAGAAGAGTAAATTACATCAGCAAAGGTTTATAGGTCCACAAAAACGTTTTTTATTACCTGGTGCATTCTTTAATCAGTTTTGCAATATAGTTAGCGCTGGTGTTTCTAAAAAGAGAAGTTAGGCTTAAGGCTCACCGTGGCTGTTGCAGCGAGAGGTCTCCACTATGCGATTGTCCTGGTCGTAGCACACCATGGCCTGGTAACGATATCCTTGGCCGCACTCCTTGATGTCACCTTGGACCTTCATGCCCAGTTGACCCTCCATGCGGCCACCCTCAGGTAGGACACAGTCCGACCAGTTGCCCACAGGCTGGGCATTGTACTTGTTACATGGGCAGTACTGGGTCTCACTCACTGGATACATCTGGTGGTTTTTACACTGATCCCGCTTTTTGCTCTTCCCTGCAAAAAATATATATTCATAAAATTACTTAAGATTTAGCCATTTTTTGATTACTGATCTTTAAGCAAGGTATGGATACTGTTACACAGTTAGAAGCCTGCTTGGATTGGGATTGGTTTTCAATGGAACTGTAGGAAGGACAGTCAACTTTACACATATAAAATGTTTAATCCAAAGTCAGTTTTTCACATCCACTGATCTAAAGGTTGGTGTAATCTGGAAGTCAGCTGCAAGTTAAAGTCTGTCACTCACCGACTAGCATCCTCTTGCGGGTCCTGACGCCCACGCAATCGGCTGTGCAGGGGGAAAACTTGGACCAGCTGCTGAGTTGACAGTCCTCCTGGCAGGGCAGCTGGCAGGGCTGTGTGAGAGGCGGCATGGAGCTGGCAAACTGAAGACAAGCTTCAACGTCTGCCTGCCCACCATCCTGCTTCCGGCACGAGACAGCTACAGGGGAAAGGAGAGAATGGGTTTTTTATGAGGATGGAGACTTCTCATTTTGTAGTCAACTTCTATCCATTTGGTAGAAAGTGGAGTAAAGTTTTTTCTTTGGCCTTTTATTGCCTTTATTGGATAGTGACAGCCGAAGACAGACAGGAAAGGGTGGCAGAGAGAGGGGGGGATGACACGCAGCAAGGGGCCGCAGGTCGGATTCGAACCCTGAGCCGCTGCAGCAACCCCGTACATAGATCGCCAGTCCACCGACCGAGCCAACCGGGCACCCCGATAGATGTTGTTTTTGACGCTCCATTTTAGTACTCTTACATACATCATACCTTGAGTAGTGATCCCCTAGCACTATCCAAACACAGATCTAATAATAAATGAAGTTGTATGTGGTAAATAGGGCCCTTAGAACCAGCAGTTTACAAAAAGTAAATTTCTTAAGGGCTGAAAATTTTAATTTTCTCAATTTTGAGATGATGTTTGCCTGCTAGTACTCAAAGTTGTGTTGTGTAAGCTAGAGTAAAATGACTGAGCCAATCATCTATTGGGGACTATTTTTTCATCACTACACCCACGCCAATAGACCTGTTTGTACTGCCTGTCTGGGCATATTACTAATGTAAAAGTGCATAAATATTAAAAGCATCAAATTAATTAAACAAACACTGGCCCAAAAATACCTTTTCCCATTAGGTTAGATTGTGAAAGAAGTGGCTGTAAAACAGTGGATACATTCATTAACACCTATCTGAATTTGAGTCATTCAGTCCAAAGACATATGGAAAGTCTAGAAAAGCTGCATGATTATTAATTTTATCACCACTCAACTTGGCAGAGGGCTAAACTGGAAGTTAGCAGCTCGGCCAACGGAAGTCTCTAGTGTGCTTGCTCTATAGGCCACAGAATGCAGAAGCATATGCTAAAGATCAGTAACCACGAACACGCAGCGACAACAAACACAATTAACCGAGAAAAATGATAAAAAGGGACAATACCATGGCGTTTGCCCTGTAGGATGACATTTATGTTTGTTCGGTCAGCTGAACATTAACGTTACATGGTCACTGTTGCTGCCTGACAGATAATCACGTTGAAATAAACTCCATTCAAACAGTTTCCTAACCCTCCAGTTAGCTGTTAAGCGGAGCACCGAGTGTTTAGGTCCATTTGCTTTTAGCTCTGTTAGCTCTGTTATCTCTGCAAGCTGTAAACACACTGCAGGACTCACTGATAATTATTATTATCTTGTTCACAGGCAGGGTAGCGCCTGGCTAAAGTTAGCTAGCTGAGTTACAGTCTATAGTAACTTCCGCTATGCAGGATGTACGGATTCCAAACGAGAGCTCTTTCACACTTCTATTGGTCATTCCTATCCATATATATAAAGACAGAGGAGATGACAGCTCTTGAAAAAGTGAAGCCAGAAGCTCTGGATCAACCCCTGGTGGCTGACTACAACATAGGTCATAAAGTCTGGTGCCTCCATGTTAGCAGACTAAATGTCAAAGTACACATCAAATACATTTTTCCCAAAGATGGTTTCTGTTCTTATCATGCTGATGTTTGATGTATAAGTGTTCTGGTTATCTGATTTTAATTAATTATCTGAAGCTATAGGTGGGTTTCTCGTCATGATTGACAGCTGAGTCCTGCTTGCCATGGAGTTGGCCTGGTGTATGGGCAGGACTTCAGTACCGCAGTGGCAACCCCGATCGCCACTGTGCAGACTCTGGCTCACAGTGGCGAAAGATGGCAGCGGCCATATCCGAGATATTTCAGCTTAATTTTTGTACAGTGGGAGGAAGTGGAGACGCAACGTCTCTCTTTTATACTGTATGTCGATGGTCATACTACATGTGTGGATTATGTTACTTTTACAATCAGGTACATGTAACAGTTATTAACGTTCCAAGGTGGACTGGAAGGGGACAGAGGGGCCAGAAAGAGGTGGGCGGGGAAAGAAAACATGCCTAGAGAGGGGCACAAAGGCCACAGTGGCCAATGGGTGTACAATTTTCAAGGGTGCAAAAAGGCTAGACACAGATTGAAATTCCTGCTCTGATTACAATTATCGATGCATTTATTTATGAGTAGAAAAATATTTTTGTATTGTTGTATCCATTTAATTTTTGATATTATGTTGATTAGTTTTATCTTTAACAATGCATCATATCAGTAGCTTGTTATAGGTTTTACACAGAAATCTTAAGATTTAATAACTAACACCGTAGTGGAGGGCAGAGTATATTTCTCTTATAAATCACTGCCCTAGTATAACGGATCCATATTAAAGAAAACATTGGTGACAGTATGCTAGCAATGAAAATACCAATATTTAGTCATTTCCCCCTGGGATTATTACAGTGTTTCTGATTCTGATTCTGATTCTGATTATCTCAGGGTATCTCTCTCTTATACCCACAACAATGACTTCACACACCCACACACGTACACAGATTCACTGGAAATACTACAAGTAAGGTCTATAAAATGGCAAGGGCATTTTGAAAGTTTTACTTGCATGGGTGAATAGTGAGAGGCTTATTGAACTGTGTCTCTCCAGCTCTGAGTATACCATTACAGGTAATGGCCCATAATGATAAGAGCCTCCAAAGATGGAGGAGCAGGATGCTCATCATCGGAATCAGATAATGCCCCCTGTCTCTGAGACTTTAATAGGAGTCTGAGTGTGTGCACTGATAACAAGTCAACTGTCTGCTGCGGCCTGAATTCTCACTCAGGCCACAGGCATTGGTGCTACACCTGGCAAGTCATCTTTAACCAATAGTACAAGTTTTGTTCTGAGATTTTCCTGCTGGGGTTAAGCAAGTGTGAACCTACTCATGTGAGTTCTCTTTTGAAGCCTCGAGTTCTGCATCATGGCCATTGCCATGATGGTTTTTCAGAGCCAACAGCAGTGACTTAGTCTAAATTGAGCTGCTCTCATTGGCTGCGCATGGTTTTAACTCGTCCGTAGCAGTAAACAATGGCGGCTCACACACAATCTCATATTCCAGATAAACACTAAAATATGCTTCTGAAAGGATTTTAGGAGAGAAATAGGAAACACAGTAACAGAATCTGGATTCATATTTGATCAGCACTGCCTAGTTTGACAGTTTGATCTGAGTTTGATCGTTGAGCTGGACAGACTCACTGAGAATGAGCTGTCAATCACACCAATCAATATGTCTAAATCATACCCTGCTTTATGGTCTATTTTACTCTAAATGGGACCATCATTTACTAAATGAACATCATGCTGTATGGAAGAAGACTGAAACTAGAGATCATCATCATCATCATCATCATCATAATAAATCATTGTTAGTGTGTTTAAATACAGTCTGTACATGAATGCATTTAAAAACTAAAACTCAACATAGCTGATGAAACCATGTATCTTTATAGTTATTTTGACCACCCAATTTAACAAAATATTCTTTTAATTAAGTGATTAATTAATACATTTACATTTTAGCTGTACTCATTCACTAGTTTTCCTGGTGAATTAAAAAACTGCAGCTACTTGTCATAATCATGAAATTATAAGGGATTACTTAGTATCACTGTACAAAAAGAGTAACTGATTATTATTAATTAGTCATCATTAGTATGTAAATGGTAAATGGTAAATGGACCTGTACTTGTATAGCTCCTTTCTAGTCTTCCAACCACTCAAAGCGCTTTTACACTACGTGCCACATTCACCTTTTCACACACATTCACTCAGTATTGGCAAAGTCCATCAAACAGAAACTAATGCATTCATACACATTCACACACCGATGCACAGCATCGGGAACAATATGGGATTCAGTATCTTGCTCAAGGATCAGTGATGGGAATAATGGCATTATAAATAATGGCGTTACTAACGGCGTTACTTTTTTCAGTAACGAGTAATCTAATTGATTACTCTTCCCATCTTAATAACGCCGTTACCGTTACTGCCAAACAATGCGGCGCGTTACTATAATTGAATCTGTTTTTTTCATCAGACCAACTAGATCTCTGAGCCGAGAGGCAAAGACTTTTTTTTACTGTTCTTCCTTGGTTAGTGGGCAGTGCACGAGACAAGCGCATAAATGCTGACGATTGGCTGAGGTTGAGTAAAATTTCATGGTAAGCCAATCAGAGGTAGAGTTGGGCGGGTGTTCGAAAGCACGCATAGTCCGACACACAACGAACAACACAAGCGAGTCAGTCAACGAGAGACAGGTATGGCGAGTTGTGCTGCATCTTATTACATTTGCACTAAAAAGAGTGTATATATTGTTTGAATACATTTTTGGTACATTGCTTAAAGAGCATCATTTAATTTAGATTTATTTGTTGGCTGGCTGCAGCCTCTTGAAGTGAGATTGTCAATGGTCAGAGAAAGAGATTTATTTTTATGGAGATGTATTTTTTATTTCTTATGTATTACCTATTTATATTTGGATTCCTTAGTTTTGCTATACATTGTACTTTTCAGTTAGATTGAAAGCACCTCATATTGTTACACTGTTCCACTTTTTTAAGTAGTACAGTATATCTACAATTGTAGACAATTGTCTGAAGTTTTTTTTGTTTTATTTGCACTACAAAGAGTGTATATGTTTGTTATTTATTTTTGGTATAGTGCTTAACAAGCATAACTGAATTTTGTCCAGTTGTGGCCTGTTGAGGGGCAATAAATATCAAAAGTTCAAAACATCTATTGTGTTATTTGTATGGATCCACTATATAAACATAATATCTACATACATGGCATTTGATTGGAGGCTAGTCTCACTTTGTCCCACAGCAACATTAAAATAGTTTAGACTTGTGTACATTGTTTCTGTTAATAATGTATTGTATTAAGTGTCCATCTCATTATAATATTCAGATTTATCATAAATAATTGAATATGTATTTTGAGTTCCGTTAAAGAGGGGTGGAGGTGGGGTCACATTTGAGCATTTAACAATTTACTTGAAAGTAACGCAATAGTTACTTTCTGAAGTAACTAGTTACTTTTATAATTTGTAACTGAGTAACTCATTTAGTTACTTTTTGGAAGAAGTAACTAATAACTGTAACTAATTACTTTTAAAAAGTAACTTGCCCAACACTGTCAAGGATACTTCAACATGTGGTGGCAGCAGGCAGGGATCGAACCATGGACTGAACAGTTTTTTTCCCATATTACCCACCACTGACTATACCGCCACACTTATCTGGACAATTTAAGCCCCCACATCCTAACACATATTTATACTGTCTCATATCTATAGTGTATTCACTTACATCTCTATATCTAGCTGTTTACTCTGTATATAATGTCAACCAATTTAATTACTTGTACTTACATATATACTTTATAATTTACTGTTAATACTGTTCATACTGCACATATCTTAACTTAATAGCTGTATATATCTTAGTGTAATCACTTCACTCCATTCATTCTGTTAATGCTGTTCATACTGTACATATCCTGCTAGTATATTCAATTCAATTCAATTCAATTCAATTTTATTTGTATAGCGCCAATTCATAACAGAAGTTATCTCAGGACACTTTCAAATAGAGCAGGTCTAGACCGAACTCCTTATAACATTATTTACAGAGACCCAACAGTACCACCATGAGCAAGCACTTGGCGACAAGGGCAAGGAAAAACTGCCTGTTAAAAGGCAGAAACCTAGGACAGATCCTCCGGCTCTAGGTGGGTGGTCGTCTGTCTCGACCAGTTGGGGTGAGATATATATATATTCATATATATATATATATCTATAATGTTATTTTTATATCCTTGTACATATGCACATTACTCTGCACTTTACTGCTCTTTGCACTTCTGGTTAGATGCTAAACTGCATTTCGTTGTCTTAGTACTTCTAATATAGTAATCTAATCTAATCTAATCAAATCTAATCTTAATATAGTACGTCCCAGTCAGTTCTCAAGTATATCATCCTTGTCTACTATACAGTCCTCCATTCAAGGTTATTGACTAACTATTTATTAACGATTCACTAATTATCAGGTTGTTGCTTAGTAACTGCTCACAACTTTGTGTACCATACTGTAGTGGAGTGTTCCCATCGGCTACGTTGGTATTGTGGAGTTGAGAAGGTGAGATATTAGACTCTGTTGTGCCTAAACTATAACATTCACATCTCTCTTCTCAGAACCATATCATTTACAGCTAGATTAAAGTTGTATGCAGCCCCCAGGTACTGCTTTGATGCAAACTCCCCTGTTCGTGGATCCTGCAAAGATGGAAGGATCTGATCTCAGCTCAGGCTAATGTCTTTTCCTGATGACTGATAGTTACACTGTTCTTCCTGCTCTGTATGTGTATGTGTTCATACAGATAAGAAAAATATAATGTTAATGTTTGTGTGTGTGTGTGTGTGTGTGTGTGTGTGTGTGTGTGTGTGTGTGTGGCTGTCCTCACCCCGAACCTGCATTCCCGGCCCACAGGTCTCCTGGGCATCAGGACTGTCCTGACGAACTGACCATGGAACCAGCTGACATCTCCGCCACTTATGGGTTTTCCATCTAAAAAAAAAGCAGAAGAATCAGAAGTGTCTTGAACTTAGATGGTGGCGGGAAATGCTATATGAACAACAGCAGCTCCAACTTTCAGATGAGCCAGCCATAGTCAAAGAGTGTGCCATTAGTGGCATGTAGTGGTGGACTGGGATTGATTGTCTGAGCTCACTGGCTCCGAGTTATTTAGACCCCAGGGTGGCATGACAGAAGAGGTCATGGAATCATAAAATTCATGGTCGTCCTAAAGGAACGTAGAATTTACTTAACAAATATTGTGGCAAGCCAGCAGTTCCTTGAGGTTTAAAGCCAGAAGACCAAATTCAAGGATCCATCATCTGTCTAGACTGTGTTATGGAAAGAATGGGAAAACCCCACCTGAACCCACAAATCTGGTTTTGCGTTAGGTTCAGCCCATTTTGTTTGCGAAAAACTCTGATTGGGGTTCAGGTTAAGTTATTTTCAAATGTCATTCATAAATGACGTTATAAATGATAAAGTAAAGCCAAAATATAGCTTCGGGATTTGGACCAGGTTCTTATTTGGAAAATTGCCCGGTTTAGTTGAATCAGGTCAGATACCGTTCCTCAAGTGATTCACTTAAATCAGCATCAGATGGGGCTTAAGATTAGATGTTAGAAAATGGAAAAAAAACTAGGTGTTAAAAAGAAGTGAGCTTACCAGACCTCTCTAGCCTGCTCCTTACCTCTGCTTGAGGCCAGAGGCTCCAGGCTACTAGCATACCACACTCAAATCTCTGACCAAACTGTTAATTGGTTAGCCATCAAAAATTCCCTATAACTCCTATACTTGTATTAATTAAGTTGTCAGCAGTGCTTGAAAGGGGCCAGTACTCAGCAGTACACTTCTGATTTTTGTCCACATGAGTACCATTACTTCTTGTGGTCACCAAGGTATTTTTTCAGAGTGGAATACAAAACAAAAATTGTGAAATAATTGCCTAAAAATAACTACTTTGATGCTTTGATGCTTTTGATGATCAGTATTTCTAAAGGTAGCAATGCGGGTGAGGTACTCATAAATGTCCGTCTAACTACATCAGCTTAACGCTAAGAAAGCACTGATGTTGTTAAAAAGGATCAAAACTCATTAGGGTTAGGGGTTATTTTGTGTTTAGGGCTGTGCTGAATTAGGGTACTGGCACCTTTTTCAGTCCAGTTCAGGCACTGGTTGTCAGTGAGTAACATGTGCAGGTGTTGAATAGGACCAGTTACCTGTATCCTTGACAGACAGATGGAGCCTCACACTCTCTCTCCTGGGTCAGCACTTCAGGACAGTCTTGTCCCCCGTTGGCTGGTGACTGGATGATTATACGTTTCCTGTACTGCTTCTTCTTTGTGTTACCACCTAAGCGACAGGACAGGAAAGAGAAATATACTTTTAGCTAAGTCTACCTAATAAACTGCCAACTTAAAGTAAATGTAAGACACTGAATGTAGCAGAGTAAACGTTGCTTCAGTTCCAGCAAGTCCCAGATTTCAAAAGGTTCTTGCCAAAGGGATGTCTTTTGTATGCTTTTAGCTGTATTTTATTAAATCTCTCAAAGTAGACCTAATACAATGAAGCCCAATTGGTCTTCAGTTTCTGCTGATAGTGAGCACTTCAAGGGGAGGGTAATACAATCAAGTAGAATATTGAATACCATCCCCATCATCTGCTCTGTGGTATCCAATACAGCTCCACTGGTGGTAGAGGTTATTGACTTTACAGGAAGTCCACATCTATATCAGGACTATCATATCAGATTGCAGTTTCTCACAATGCCAAAGTCCTGCAGTGATTCCTTTATTACGTCATACAGAAAAGAAAAAAAAGTATTCAGATAGCAAAGGGCTGCGAATGCAGATGACCATGCTACACGCCATATTGTAGACACCCATCCTGAAGAGAAAGATGCTTATCATGTTTAAGTTCATGGGAGCATGGTGCCTATCCCAGCATGCATAGGGGTTATTGCAGTAGTCAAGCCTCTCTTGTGTTTAACCAAGCATTTGCGTGTTCAATGCACATCTCACAGACTCACTTGGTAGTATTGGTGAGCATCCATAGAAACTAACATTACGCTTGTGCAATACAATGGATTTCTTTAAAGTCCCGCCCCTTTTTGCTCTGTGCTCCAATAAGAGTTGAGCAAGCCTTGGTCAGAACCTCAGTCAACTTTCTCCTTTCCTGTATTTAGATATGCTATGTGCTAGGCTAATCTATGTTGAAAAGATGACCACATTTTTAAGATGGTTAAAAGATTAAAGCGATTTATACAGTCATATCTTAAGTTAGCTAATGTTAGCAAAACGATTGATGTAAATTAGCTAGCTAGTTAGCTGGCATTTTTTTCAAAACATTAGCTTTCAGAAGGGGTTTGATTTTTAATGCAAACTGCATCAAGAGTGAGTTCTTGTCTATGCATGAGTGTTGGTGAAATACAAGTATATCACAAGAAAGGGCCCTTCGACATGACCGGAGGAGCTGGGGATGGAACAACCAACAATGCTGTTAATAGATAATCCACTTTACTATCAGAGCTACTGAGAGCAAGAAGACACATGGACACTCTATATAGATACAAGATAATGGAGCGATTAAAGGATTTGTTCAGCAGATGCCTCTGGGGAGCGACTATGCCAGTACATAAAGCAAAACTCAGGGGACCGACAGCCATACATGTCTAACACTGAGGTTATTTGCTTGGCAAATAGGTTCCAAATTAGCCAACACTATCAAGATTTCCAGCAGCTGTTTATTGTGGAGGCGGCCCATCCACCCCCACTGACTTACAAACAGCTTCTAATAACATCATTCAAGTTTTTCTACCCCTTTAAAAAATAAAATAACACATTTGAGATCTTTAGGAAAAAACAAATAAAAGGCCTATTGCTATGTGATGATGAACTTCCACTAACCAATTTCCTGCAGGAAACCCTGATATTTTCCTTTTAGAAGACTGATGAAAAACTGCATTTCCATAACATTTATTAAACATGCAACAACACAGACTGAATCTGAAATTTTGGTAGTCTGTCTCAGCATGCATGGTGACTTTATTGTCTGTCTCCTCGTGCTGAAATAATGATGAGCCTATTTGCTATGCTTCATTAATTGAGAAACAGACATCATACTAAGGCTTTTATGAAATTCCTCCTTAACACTGCTGCATTTGGCCTGTTTGACACTCTGCAAAGCCTCACTGCATGAGCTGAAGTCAGCAAAGAGCCGGAGTTACCTGCTTGACATGTGGATGGGCAGGGGCTCCAGTCGCTGTACGGGGTGACGATACAGTCTCTCTTGCATGGCAGTAAGCAGGGCCTGACGGTGTCTGGGCGCAGGCTCTCCGGACACCTGCAAGTACATCGTTGATATGCTCAGACACAAACACACAGAGTACCCTTGAAATCCTGATAGAGCTCATTAGATATAAAGTGAAAACACAGACTATGACGTTGAAGTTGAGACCGTCCTCAGTAGTAGTAGCAGCAGTGTCAGTCGTTTGTTATAACGATACCTAAGTTGACATTTATAGTGTATTTCAGTGACAACTTGTCCGTCCAAAACAAAGGTGGAAAAAAGAAAGCCTTGTATCTCCAATTAGGAGGTTTTTTGTTTTCTGTGAGCAGTTAAAGAAGGACTGGAAAGATGGAAGGAAGAAATGGATAGAAGTAGGGAGGAAAAATGGAAAGAGGAAGGGAGAAAAAAATTAAAGGAGCAGGAAGGACAATAGGAAGGTGGACGAATGGGGGAAAGACAGAAAGAAGGGAAAAGGAAAGAAATAAGCAAATAATGTTGGGAGGAAGGTAAAGAAGGAAAACATTGTAGCACCAAATATGAGAAACTGTTCGTTTCCCGTTTCAATTCAATTCAATTTCAATTCAATTTTATTTGTATAGCGCCAATTCATAACAGAAGCTATCTCATCCACAATCTGACTCTGACCCTCCTTTACATACAAGAGTTGAGGTTCCTTCACCAAACTAAGCATAACCTTTTACTATATCCTGACAGCAGTAGTCATTTCTGTCGCTAGGGGGTCTCATCAAAACAATACCAAAAAAAAAAGTTTGATGAGGTGGTAAAGTAGCGTGGGATCATGGGAGTTGTTGTCTTCACCACCATTGCCATCACTGCATTCAGCTTCTCCTGGTTAGGATTCCTTCAGTGTTCATGGTTCAGGAGGTTTCTACTGGGAGTCCAATGATCCACAGAGGTCTCCTTCTCTCCAGAACAAACAGACCCCCAGATTAAAACAGCTAAAAACACAAAATAAATGGACCTGTATAGCGCCTTTCTATTCTTCTGACCACTCAAAGCACTTTTACACTACGTGCCATATTCACCCTTTCACACACATTCACTCAGTGATGGCAAAGTCCATCGAAGAGAAACTAACATTCACATGCATCGGGAGCAATTCGGGGTTCAGTATCTTGCTCAAGAATACTTCGACATGTGGCACCAGGAGCCAGGGATCGAACCCACAACCTTCCGATTAAGGAACGACCCGCTCTGCCTCTGAGCCACAGCTGCCCCTGCCATGAATGGCAAAGTGTTACAGTCATTTAACATAAGCACTAAGCTAGCTTGTTAGCTGCATCTTTTAGCTTTAGCAACATTAGCACAAATAGCACTACATGGCACATTCACTCAGTGATGGCAAAGCCCATCAAACAGAGACTAACTCATTCATACACATTCACACACCAATGCACAGCATCGGAAACAATTTGGGGTTCCGTATCTTGCTCAAGGATACTTCAACATGTGGTGGCAGCAGGCAGGGATCGAACCAACAACCATGGACTGAACAGTTTTTTCCCATATTACTCACCACTGACTATACCGCCACACTTATCTGGACAATTTAAGCCCCCACATCCTAACACATATTTATACTGTCTCATATCTATAGTGTATTCACTTACATCTCTATATCTAGCTGTTTACTCTGTATATAATGTCAACCAATTTAATGACTTGTACTTACATATATACTTTATAATTTACTGTTAATACTGTTCATACTGCACATATCTTAACTTAATAGCTGTATATATCTTAGTGTAATCACTTCACTCTGTTTATGCTGTTCATATCCTGCTAGTATATTCAAATATATATCTATAATGGTATTTTTATATCCTTGTACATATGCACCCAGCAACCGGGGATCGAACAAACAACCTTCCGATTAGGGGACGACCGGCTCTGCCTCTGCGCCACAGCCGCCCACAACTACATATAGAACGTAGAGCTAGTGTTTATACACAGTTTAATGTGGAAATATTAGAGATTATAGCTTTAAGGAACTTGTGCAGCGGCTTCACTCTCAAACCCGGAAGCTCCATCCACTATTTATACAATCTATGAGCCAAACAGGAAATTAGCTTTGCTCAGAATTCCCATGGCATCACCAATTAAAATTCTGAAAGAAAAGAAGCTCTATAGCAAACAAAGGCATATGATATATGAACACAAAGAAATATTTTATAACTCAACACAGTGTTTACCATATTTGAACCACACACCTAATTAATATCCTAATACATCTTTTTTGTCATCATGCTAATGCATTAGAATGCTCTAATGCCACTTGGCGTTTGCTGGTGGCAGCCCTCACATCCTGGCCGCAGCTGGCACTGCTGGTGAAAGCGGGTGCCCCTCTCTCCATTGATGTGAAAGTGTGTCCCAAGGCAGCAGGCTCACTGCTCAGCATGTAACAGTAGGTTTAGGAGCAAGCGCAGGAATAAAAAGCGAGATTAATTTCCATACGCAGCATGCGGGCTGGTGGGGGTTCGCCTGCGTAGTGCTGCTGTGCTGCCAGAATAATGCTCCCGCTCTGTTGAATAAATAAATAGATAATTCATGTTCCCAGCAGATGCCTTCAGGGGGGAAACACACCCTGATGCTTAAAGCAGTTGGCCAGCAGCTCATCAGCTCATCAGCAACACCTCTGCCAGACACCGGTAACAATAGACTAACCAGGTGACTAAATGGCACAACACGCCATGTGCAAACAAAGTGTGCAACCAAAAACAGAGGCAGCCTTACACTTATAAGGGTTAAGCCTTCCCCAATATCAATCTTTCAGTACCAAAATTGGTATTTCTAACAGAAACTGCTTCAGATCAGACTAAATTGCGTGTTAGTTTCATTTCATTCAGCCTGACATCGTATCAAGTTAGCCAATTTCTGTTATTTTGTTATGTTTGCCCTAACGTTTCTGCCCAGCCAACATGAGTTTGTGTCAACACGAAATTGGTGGTAATGGTTGCTAGATGGAGTAATGGAATTAAAGCTGCAGAAGGTATATTATAAAAAATTACTTTTGTCAATAAATTATGTTCCTCTGGCTCCAAATGGAATCCACCATGCCTGACAGAAAACAACCAAACAGAGCCAAGAAAAATAGTTGATTGTTGCTCAATCCCAGATTGTAACAGAGATGGGATGACATTCATGCACAGCCTTTAATCATAGCTGAACTCCATGTATAAGCAATTATGTGGAGTCTTACTTTTTTGGAGGAACCTGGCCCACATTGACCCGGACACAGATGACCTTGCGGGTTTGCATCCCCACTGAGCAGGTGGCATCGTCCCCACGTGTTCGCCCCACGGATGCATTGGAGGCCGGAATGGAGGAGTCCTCAATGCACTGCCCCCACGAGCCTGTCTGCCAGTGGTACACAGTGCAAGGATGGTCATTGCAGTTCCTCACCTCCTGCAGGGCACTGATGTTGGGGCACTGAATTCCACCTGAGAAATGATTGAACAGAAGCCAGCATCAATGTTTTAGCTGCACTACAGACAAAAACAAAAATCACATCAGCACTACACAGGTAGTCTAAAATCATACACGGCAAAGACAGATCCAAGGGACCCAAAAATTCTGTATTATTGTCCAGTCTGAGACATTTTGTAATTTGCTCTGACTTTGCGGGTGGTTTGACTCACACATCTCTATCTTAGCCTCATTTGCAACTTGACCAAGACTCATATTTAATCTTGACTCAATCGCAAAACTGCTCTGACTTGGACTTGGTCACACTTGACCTGAGTAATCTTGTTCTCAGCCCTGTAGGCCTATTTGGCCTGTCAGAGCTGTATGAAAACAACCAATGTGTGCCATGACTTAGGGTATGGATCCTTGGATCTCTCTTGAGCCCAAATCAACTGCATGCAATGGCTATTGTGTTTACACATATGTAAAGTTAGCGAAAAATTATTGCCTTTAGGAAGACATGACAAAGAGCACCCACTGACATTTCTGCTAGTTCTATATAAAGTTTCTTTATCATTCTATGCTCCATCAACACATAATCTGAAATAGGCCAGTTTTAGATAAACTAAGCCTCGCCTGGAAAGTGGATGAGATCAGGCAGCAGCAGAGGGGGCGGTTGCACTCAAGTCGGATAGTTTCCAACAGCCAGAATTTACATCCTGGTAGATCCGTCTGTAGTTTGTAGTTTGCATTATCTTGTGCTATTCTTCTAGTTGTCTGTTCCCCCATGATAGGAAAATTGGGAAAGTGGCTTTTGTATTAGGGTTGGGCGATATGGTAAAATCTTCCAACTGGCCACATCAGTCCAACATTTGGCGTTTGCTGTTTGCACTCACTCACAAATATGCCGTGCCTCTGCCACAAGAGCTGTGGATCGATGGGGCCCACCAGAGACGAGTAAAGCAGTGAGCTAGGAGTTACACGCAGGTGTGAGTCGCCCTTAAATGCAGGCAGGATGCCAGAGTGGAGGGCTTCTAATTGCAGTGATCCTTCCTTCATGTCAGTTCTGTATTTCCTGAGCATACACCTGTAGCAGCGACACTCCGACGATGTGCAGTCACTCGTCTTTTGACATCCTTCTTGATATCAGACCATTTTTCTTTATTGTGCCATTGTACATTTCTCTGAACGGGCTGCACTGACCATTCATTACTCTCTGCCACTCTCGATTTACATTTGTTGCTTATTCCAGAGGACAAACCACCAAATAAAACTTTTTTCTAGCCTCCACCTCAGTGATACACCTTCTTTCAGTATAAACTCTGCACAGTCTTTTATAAATGAGGCCCCAGGCCTATCTCCTGTCCGGGGTTCTACATGGTGTGTCCTCATTGTCCCTGGAGTTAGTCTTGTTTTGTGCGTCTGTAAATCACATTGTTACTGTATGTTAGATGTGAAAATACACTGAATGTCTGTCACTGAAAAAGACAGATCCCTTACCTGAAAAAGAACTACCGATAGACTCGCTGATAGCTGATATATTTCGTCCAATCATCTAACCCTATTTTGTACCAAACTTTGGTGCACGCTATAGACACTGAGAAGACAAATTCCATTGCCTGTTTCAAACAACTATAAAAGATACATTTGCTTAACCTTGTACATAAATACTATCTCTCTATTAATATTTGTATATGTAATATATGTCAAGTGTTCTCTTTTTAAATTTTACAAAAAAAAACAGTCATTGTAAATCTTACAAAAAGCACTGAAGTGGTTATAGTTTCCTTGGAGTACAAAGATGAGCACAATTTGGATGTCCATCTATAAACAGCAATCTGAGCAGTGGCACACTCATATAAATATAAAACACCTGCTCTCTGCTGGGACTTTACTGGGGAGAAGAATGGCTGGGCAGTTAGTAAAATAAATATCTAGCTTGGCTGGACAAAGAAAAGAAAACTACCTTTAGAAAATCACCCTTTATGAACAGAAAATCCAAGAAATAATAATACCAGGGTATACCATACTGAGCGTGATGTTAGATTTAAAAGTGATGCCTATGGTGTAGTCAACCAAAGATGGAGGGAAAAAAATTAGGACTTTGCACATTACGCCTTAAAAAATTGCATTTAGAGGTAGAGGCAACTACTCCCTTTGAAACGCTTTGCACAACTTATCAGGTTTCTTATTCTCTCTTACAAAGTATATAAATGCTAAACTTAATCAAAGTAGAGTATACTTAGGCAAACAGGATGAATCCACAGGTACAGCAATCATACATGATGAGAACATTTTCTCTGCCAAAGCTCCAAAACATTGGACATTACCAGAATCCCTTGCTGTGTGAGTCTTTGTGCAGTGCTATATCTTAGTTTGATTTTCCCTGGGCTTTTTGGAAAACAAACAAAGCTGAAGCAGATTGAGAGATAAAACAGGGGGTCTCTGGGGGACGAGAGGCTGCGAGGATCGACAGAGATGTGATGACCCAGGGGGCACAATGTCTATACAGAGCCAGAAGCTTGGATATGGCCCCAGGTGGGGTGTGCACACCATGTGACCCTCTTCACTGTGAAACCTTGTCATTAGCAGCCGCGACCACCTTGGGAAAAGAGAACCCCTGAGGAGAAGGTCAGCCATTAGCGCCTTAGAAGGCACTGAACGCCACCTTTCAGTCGGAGATGGAGCGTCTGAATTGGACATGAGACAGAGCCTCAGACAGAAGATGTGGCTGACCTCGCTGTAACAGCACAGGGGTGATGTCCTTCACAGGGTCATTTATAAACCATATTATTGGATTTCATCAGGGCAGTCATTTATCAGGCCTGGAGCTCATTAGCACATAGAAGGACACCATTATTGCTGCACGGGCTAATGAAATAATTAATTGATAAATATTTAAGTGCTACCAATTAAACATGTATTTGAAAAATGCACAGCTCGAACGGCTGCAGATTAGCTGCCCAGTGAAGAATTCTCAGTCTACTCTGTATCACCATTGTCTCCACATATTATTGTCTCTCCACATAATAACTCCTCCTGTCATTCTTAATGTTCATCTTGACCTAAATAATTAGCTCATACCAACACTAGTACACGCTGCCTTCATATTTATATGATTGTGTAGTGTGAATATGTGAATGTGATTATGCAACTAATGGTTAACTGAAAACACATTGTAATTCTTCATGACTCTGCAGTCATGCAAGAAAGCAGCAAATTGCGACGTATTGGTGTATTTCTTTGTATTTTTTTCTCTACTACAGTTTGTTAATTCTGAGCTATCCTGCAACAACTTTTTCCAATAGGGATCAAAAGTTAGAAAAGCTGATAGGTACGATTTATCGCATGGAATGATGATCAAAACTATGACATCAAAGCTGCAGTAGGTGACCTCTATGAAAATAATTTATTTGCCGAAATGTTCTGAGAGTAATAATTGAAATAAAAAATCTGTGCTCCTATTGACATTTGCAAGAATCCACCGGGCCTGGACGAAAATAACCAATCAGAGCCGAGAAGGATAAAGGCGCTTTGGGTTGGAAGCTTAAAGATAGCTGATTGTTGAGTATCATTCCCAGGGTCAAATAGCGGACAACTGGCGGCGTATTTGACAACCTGGAAAGGAGACTATCTCTCTCGACTCTGATTGGTTGTTTTTGTTCAGGCCCGGTAGATTCTTGAAAATCCCATTAGGAGCACTAGGAGGAGCCAGAGGAACCTGATTATCTGTCTCATGTACTACTGTCAGGATAGAGTGAAAGTTTCAGCAAATTACATAAAAAAATATATTTTTATAAAAATAACCTACTGCAGCTTTAAAGGTTCACTGTGTGACATATATTGGCAGAAATGGAATATAATATCCATAACTATGTCAGAGTTCCGGTTGTGCAGCACAGAGAAATGCACTTCTGATATAAACAGCCAGGTTCCCACTAATGCATTAATTGACAAATGATCGTGGAAATGATCCTGGGGACACGTACAGGGGTACCAGTGGTAGGCATACTGCAGCAAAACCGGAGTGACATTGGAGTGAGATGGAGTGGAAGATAAGGTGACGCTCCAACCTTTTATAAAATCTGCTCCAAATGCTCTCCATCCAATATCCCCCTGCTCGCTCGCCTATCAGATGCTCTGGTATTGACACATTTAAACCCAGTTTTATTTCTCCTTTTTAATGATGCAGGGTCCACATTCATTACAGGTAGCTGGTAGGTGTTTATAGCATACCCCGCCTTAGCTTGCTTTTTTGGCACCCTTGGCTGGTTGATTTTTCTGCTGCTGTTTACGACTGCAAAATTAATTTGGACACAGTTTAAATCGAATGTACTGTGATTTACAGAAAATCTGTCTTTTTTCAAATTAGCCAAGTAGAAAGTGTTTGTTGCACGTAAATCAACATTGCTGTGCATGTACTTATCAACCACAACAACTGTATGTAAATGTAATCTGATCATTATTGGTCTGTAAGCATGTATATAAGACCATCTACAGCATTCCTACTGGGCTTTCTTGAGAATTCCGCTTGTGGCTCTGAAAAAATTGACCAGATCCCGAAAAGATCGCTGCAAGTCAAGTCCCCATCTGGTGTGAACCACATCTGGTGTAGCTTATCCTACTACAAAATATGCACCTTTATGTATGCAATCTGAGATATATAATATATAATATATAATGATATAGATTTATATATATATAGGTTTATTTCCAGTATTGGGTGATTTGGTTTCCAGGTTTTCCAGGATGCGTCTAGTATATACTAATCCCCTGAAAATAAGAACTGTTGTGTTTTCATTACCTTAGAATGACCCTTCTAATGATCACTAACCCAGAGTGGACAAAAAGTGGCTCCAGTTTGTTGGTTTTTTCATGTCATTCGCAGGCACCGTAGTTTCACCATAGACCCAGCTTTTAAAAAAGCCTTATAAGAATTAGACATCACTGTCATGGCAACGGTGTGCACCGTTATTCATGGAAAGGGTCCAACAGATTTAAATCTTGCACTGGGTTCTTGCACTTCAATCCTCCCTACTCTTCCACTCTCTGTCTTGTGATGCATGCTGAATACTTTCCAGCCTGTCTTATTCTGCTATAGCTGATGGCCAGGAAAGGTCTATGTGACTTGACACTTTATTCAACACACACCACATCAACCTGCCTGGCCCCGTGTTCTGTCAACTGTCATCCATCTAATACTGCAGCAGTGTCTGCCACCTAAATGCTAGGGAAGCTAATAAACAAGTTGCACCCTGCAACCTGCAGCCTGCACCACGCTCTGACATGGACATTCTCCTGAAGCCCAGCATGCACTGTGGAGTAGGAGTATCCATTCACATGGAAATCCATTATGTATGAGGGGTCTCCTTACTCCAGCGTGGATGCTGCATTGTTGCAGATATGCCAGACACAGCATGTCACGCAATGTGGTCCAGAAGTCAGACGGCAAGAGCTGTTAAAATGATAGCAGGGACGTAAAAAATACAATTCTGATGTGCTGCCAACCCAGACGCTAACCATCTGTGCAGCCTCCTGTTTTTTTCTCATAACGATGTTTGGTGAGAACGGCTCAGTTCTCACAGTGTGATTGGCAGCTCCCTGGGTTGGGCTTTAACCCAGAGGCAATCGCTTCAGTATCATTCCAGCACCACTTAGATACCCACCACTTACCTTGGGGTTTGAAACACTTAAGGCTAAGGAATACTCAATGCTACTACTAGTGTGTTAGAGGTTTTTTTTTCTATTCTAAAAGCACAGGGATTTTGCTGGGCCAGCAGACCGGTGGGAAGAGATTACATCAATGTAGCCACATTTTTGTTTCCCTCTAGTTAAACATATGGAGACTACATACTACATCAGCAAAAATCACTTGCTGTCATCTAAGAACATCAAATATGAATGTACCGAAGATTGGACGGACCAAGGACAGCAGGGAAGGACCTTGAACAGAAATAAAGGCAGAGTCCTCATGAACGTTTAAAAGGCATGAACATGCTGTACAATAAAGTTTGACAATGTGAGTGTAAACAAGCTAGTTATTCTTCTAGTCCCTTCTTACCCTGCATCACAGTAACCCACGCCACAACCTTTGCAGTCGCTGTAGAGGAACACATAATCATTCATTTCACCTTGACATTTCACTCGTAGTATATAAGGAGGAGAGGCACAGGAGAAATATGGCAAAGACCACGGTTGTAAGACTACTAGCATCACTGTGCAATTTGACCGTGTTCATATCAGATGACACTGATTCCTAACTGACCCTTCCTGAGTCCCGCCCCTTTCTGCTTTGCGCTCCAATAAGAGTTGAGCAAGCATCGGTCAGAATGGTTCGATCAGCTTTCTCCTTTCCAGTACTAAGATATGCTATGTGCTAGGCTAATCTATGTTGAAGATGGTTAAAAGATAAAAGTCTTAAGTCAGCTAATAATGTTAACTAAGTAACAATTGATGTATTTAACTAGCTACTAATATATATGTCGTTTTTATTTGATCTACACTTCTATAGCTAGCTATTTATATCTGATAGCTAATATTAGCAAAACAACAGTAATTAGCTAGCTAATGATTGATGTAGATTAGCCAGGAAAGGAGAAAGTTGACCAATGTTCCAAAAGAGGAGGGACTTAGTAAGGGTCACTCGATTGAAAGGTCCATATATTGGCAAAGCCTTATGTCAGTGTGACTGTGTTCTGCTAGAGTTCTTACCTTCTCCTGCGTTATAGGCGAGGATGGAGCGAGCTCTGGTCTGCTTGCCCTCCGTGTTTTTTCCAGAGCAAGTGTGGGAGCACAGAGACCATGGGGTCCAGGGACTCAGGGCACAGTCCTTTGGGCAAGGCACCTCACAAATGGCCGGCATGGGCAGGATGGCATCACGGCAGAGCTGCCTCTCCACATATTCACCTGGATGGACAAAAGCAACTTTTTGAAAAATGTAAGATTTTGAAATCTTCTGAGAGCTAACTCCTTGGTGTTAGCCAGAGTAAGTGATACCAAACCAAATTTACAGAGGTATAAAAATGGCAAAACATTTATGTATTTCTCTTCACGTAATTACATTTTTGTTTTATGTGATCAAAAGTACTGCAATTGAGCACTCTGAATTGTTTTATTCTAGCTGGACACATAAAATGGCTATTTGGAGACTCAACAACACACGGTAATGGTCAGGGTTTATCAGAGCTGTAATATACTACATATTTCGATAAAAGTCAACAGAATGAACGGTCTAAGGATGATTGTCACTTTATACAATGTTTATGCAAAGAAACAATCATAATTTCCTCAATGTAATGCTGTCATACACTCATGATGTTATTGGCTAAACCATCTTCCAGTCATCTCTACAATGGCCTGTGACTGGTGGGCTATGCACAGGGGAGAACTTTTGCTGCCTGTATCGAGTTGTTGCTCATACCGGATACTTGCCATGAAAACAATCCCTACGAGGTGAAAACCACCACAAAACAAGCAGAAGTAATGATTGCTGCTAAGATTGTAATGGTAATTGTTTGGGACCAAAAGCATTTTGTCCATTGGAAAAAAAGTAATTGTTTGGTTTCACATTCCACTCCAAAAAACAAGTACATGTTGTTTCTGTGATATCAAGAAATGGTTTATGCCGACTGAATCATTAGGCTATTAATGGTTAGTTTGTTGAGGTCATTGTGAGGAATCAGGCACTATACTGTGTCTGTGATTAGACCCCATTTTGACCGGTTATCGGGCCCCCTCATGTTGATCCAAAGCATTGAAATAACTAAGTGTATTGTTAAAAAGCATACTGCATGTAATACATGCCACAATTGAAAAAAACTAACAAAATCAAAGAGAGCTGTGCATAATATAAAACAAAACAAAACACAATGCTGATGTCTTTATAAATGAAGGAAAGGCAGACGACCACCCACCTAGAGCCGAAGGATCTGTCCTAGGTTTCTGCCTTTTAACAGGCAGTTTTTCCTTGCCCTTGTCGCCAAGTGCTTGCTCATGGTGGTACTGTTGGGTCTCTGTAAATAATGTTATAAAGAGTTCGGTCTAGACCTGCTCTATTTGAAAAGTGTCCTGAGATAACTTCTGTTATGAATTGGCGCTATACAAATAAAATTGAATTTAATTGAATTTAATTGAAATGAACAGGACTGATTAAGACTGCTCACTTTGACAGCTACCCTGAGCAGAAACACGCTACATCAGCGTGTCTGAGCAGAGCGTATTGGGTAATATATCTTTCACAGGGGCATAGGACAGTGAAACAAAACTATATATCATGAAGCATCATTGCACAATTTATCTATGCTGCAGTAACTAAAATTGGACACACATATACTATGTACATGTTAAATCGTAGAAAGGCTTAAGCAGTCTGACTATATTGCGTCAGTTAGCCAAAATGTGTTTGCATACTTTTTCAATCAGTGCAGTTCATAAATGACACAGTCTTGACCTTTATGAATGATTTAATAACACTTAACTGGACATTAATACTTCAACATACTGCACTCTGACATAGTTCACTAAAGCAGATAAGGCTGTTTAAAGTAGAGCAAATGGATGTTTGAAAATGTAAAGGCGAGCCATTTGAAAAGCTGAAAATTAAGAAAAATATTTTGTCATGTTGGAAAATCCTATTTTATCTTACAGCAGTGTAATATGCAGAGACATGTCTGACAAAATAGTATAATATTTTAAGAACTATGCTTATTAGCTTAGCTTAGCATAATGACTGGACACACCAACAACCTGTGATTTCAGGGGGAGTTAAGTAAGCTATTTCTTGAGGAACAAGCTTCTCCATCTGTCCAGTACTGCAGTGTCTCCATCCACAGTACAGGTTGCTACATATGGACTGTGAGTACAGGTGAGCAGCACTGATAAACTGGTGTTAAAAAAAAGTCTGTCTCATGTACCACTGTCAGGATACAATGAATGTTTCAGCAAATATGACGAAAAGTAGTTTTGATGAAAGTTACCTACTGCAGCTATAATGGTCAGCAAACAGTCTTAATCATTTTTAAACAGCAATTTATAATTGTTCTGGAAGTATCTTGAACCCCTACTGTGTGATCAGAAAACATTGATGTTGGTTGTGTTAAAAGGCAATCTCCTCTAGTACCAAAGCTGGAAACATCACTGTGACAAGATGTCATGTTGTATGCAGTCACTGTGCCCAGAAACAAAGAGGATACAACTTGCTAATTAGTCAGGCTGAATGAATGTCAAAGCGTTTCATTCCTTTACGGAGACTTGCAGAATTAGAGGCTCAGATGTACTGCTGAAACCTTAAAGGTTAAGTCACTTGCCTGCTGGCACCAAGCTCAGGGTCACAGTAAGGGGTATACAGGTGTTGTTGGGATAGGTTTAAGTTTGTCAATACAGATACTTAAGGGGAATGCACATTGGTTTATTTGTGATGTATTTTCAAGGATTTGTGTTTGGAAGGGTGGGGGTGCTGATATGCTGATGGGACCAATATTGAAGATCTGCAGGCTGTCCTCACCCTCCATCCCAGTCAATCCCAGCCCATCCTGTCGCTGAAGGACCATATCTGTGAAAATCTCATTGTGAAGGGCTGGAAGACAACCAGTGAGCTGAGTGATACGTCTGGGACCCCAGGGAAAAAACAGATCCATTTTCATCACAGGGAGACAACAGTAGATCAATAAAACGCCAGTCAAGAGAAACTCTGAGGGATGCCACATGGATGTGGGGTTGGTGGTGGGGGACGTATGGAGCCTTGACAGGGGTAATAGAAGACTTCCATGTGATAGATGCTGGACGAAATCATTGAAGTGTCTGTATGACACTGATGGCTTTCATGATGTCAGCACTAGGTGACGCTGGCTTTTGATAATTGAACTCACACACAGTCTACACTGGTTAACACAAACCAACACTAAGTCCAAAGACATCCAGATAGAAAGGAGGGACCATTAATAATATATAATGTCATGCTGTGGTGGTAATTTGAGATCATTTCCCATCCATTCAACTCAGCCTGCCATGAAATATGGTTCCCAGGGGTATGAGCACTACTAGTGACCCCCTGACTCTAGTTGTACACAGATATAGATATATTATGTAGATATATTAAAATTTAATATATATTATATATATATATATTTACGAGGCAAAGTGCCATGACATTTACCGCACATAGGAGCATAAACCCTTTCCATTTTACACCTTTTGTTTTTCATGTTCTCAGCCACTGATGACAAACATTTTCACTACTTAGTAAACTACATCCATAGAACAGAAAGTATCAATAACTACAGGCTGTACTAATCAGCCTAGATTTTGATGCATGCTCCTAGTCTTACCGAGAACTGTGGATGGTGTGACCAGCCTAACTATTAGGTCGAACTTAGAACATCAAGTTATAACTGACTTAACTTAAGACCAGGTGTAAGCCCTGTTTGGGAAAACATCAATTAAAACTTACAACTTACATTAAGACTTACACTTGAACATGGCAATATTTGGATCCTATTGGCTCTTTACTGGTTGTGCATATGTTCACAATAAAAATATTTTAAATTTGGTCCAGACAACAGATCTTTGTTAGTTTGACATGACAAATTTTGGAATTATAAATTAGCTATGTCAGGACTTCTAACCTGATGGGTGTACATGCAAGCACAATGACCACTAGCAGGACCAGGATCTATCTAGTTACCTGACTTCACCCACACATTAAACATAGTGGTGGCAGCTCAGAAAACATGGTGTATCACTTTTTGGGAAATGGATGACGTTCAGTGTAAATGAAAGGAATATCAGAAGAAGCCTTGTAGCCGAGCAGAAGGGAAGAGTTTCAGAGAAAGCAAGGAAGGTGCTTTCTCTGAAACTCTTCCTCTCCTGTTCCGCACAGTGTTCAAAACCATTCCGCTAAACTCACAGATCTGAGAAGCTAAAGTGATATCAGTTCGCCCTGAGCTCAGCAAGCAATTGACACGATCAAAGGGAAAACTTTCTTTTTTAACATTACAAACATCAGACAAGTCAAACCGCTGTCTGAACCTGTGTTGATGGAAATGTACCAGACAACTCCTCTATTCAATTCTGCCACATCCGGGGGAGATTGCCTCTCACGCAGTCAGAGCTAATGGGGAAGAAAGGCAGACCAAATCCAAGCTGACTGTGTGGCACAAGCTGCGCTAATCTAATTTACCAATGAGTCTGATTCAACAGGGTGCCATAAAAGGAAGCCCACGCCTCTTCAGCTGAGTGCCTTTCAGGAGATGGAAGGAGAAGAAGAAAGAAGAAAGACAGACAGATGAAGATGAGGTCACCTTGAGGAGTTTTTCTTTTATGGCTGGGACTACTTGGATGTACTCATCAGCCATTTAAATGGATTCAGATAATAAAGAGTGCCCCAAGGAATAAGTGAAGGATGGAGCAATGGATATGTGAGGGTTGATTAAAAGATAAGTGACATTTTAGGGTTTTCCTCTTCATATAAGAATGTGTTCACACAACAGTCTATACTAATGCTATCTTTTCTTTCTTTCTGTGTCAATACTTTTTCAGTTTCTGGAGGAAACACAAGATGTTACTGTCTGTGACCACGGCAAGACTGGGCACTTCCTCTGCTGTGGCTGGCTATTGCTAGCTACGACTGTGTTTGTAGTTCTCTGCAGTGTCTCAACTGTAGTTGCAGCCATGGCTGTGATTGGTGAGGCTCTGGCTAACATGCTGTGATACAATTAGGGCATGGCTATAGCTTTTGGATTGCTGTTGCTGTAATTATGAGTATAGTCTTGGCCACAGCGGTGGCTTTTGCTGTTATGATCACGGGTTTTGAAAATGTATCTACATTTATCTTCATCTACATGCATGGGTTGTGGCTTGACATTGTGTTGGCTGAGGGTTCATTGAGCTCTTCATGAACTCCGGTGTCA